CATACGTGCTTCACAAGCATCGCATCATCTGCCAGAAAGTCTGCTTTTGCTGCCTTGTTCGGCCACCTGCAACAGACGCACCAACCCGGGAACGCACAGAGCTGGCATCGCTGAGGAGCACGACGTCGGCCTTCGTGCTGTGCACACTTCTGCTCGGCGGTGCCGGTTTTCGGCACCGCAGGGGCCTCCGCCTGCATCCCATCACACGACAAGACCCCCAACTGTGCCACAAGATAACGTGTCAGAGGGGAAAAGCCACCTCGACCCATATTTCACAGTATTTCACAGAAGGCTCAGCCATGTCGGCCTTATTCAGCAGCAGCCCGGAATCGTGCAGCAGCGTGGGGTGGGTGGCCTTCGATACTTTATGTCAAATTAAACAGCAAGCTACACAGCCTCGTTCTCACACTGAGTCCACGGCTTGGCACTGGCGAAGCAAATAAGATGCCACCACAGCGCAGGGCACCATACTGACGGAGGCGCATGAGTTTGGGCCCCCACTCTTTCACAACTCTGACTATCGACGGAAGAACGGCTCCAAACGTGACTTCTCATTACTATAGTACCAACAAAAGTCAACCCGGCACTTTGACGACCAGCAGCACCATCAACTGCACAAGCAGGGGTAGCTGCTGCTGGCGTGGGAAGCGCAAACACAAGTGAGTTAAGCCGTAGATGACGAGTCATTGACGCGCTGGAGTGCACATTTAAGCAAGCGAGTGAGCGGAGGCGGGGGGGTCCCTCCGTTGCATTGAAGTTCGGTGAAGAAGCTGCGTCAGCGTTGTGCGGCTGTTTAGCACTGGAGCCAACGGGTACATGAGTCAGGCGAGACAGCGAGGGAGTCTGACTAAGTGCATGAATTCGAACGCAAGGGCGGAGTGGAATGAGGCTGTCGTCACTGCGGCAACCTTAGCCCTGCCTCTGGGTGCTGATCCTGTTGCAGGTTACTAGCGAACAGTTGCCACATTCCCGTGCTTGCGGACAGGGCGGCCTGCCGACTCCGTCCCCAGGACGGAGTCGAAAAGCACCGGAGCTGCGAGTGACGAACACCAGCTTTCAACTGCTCTGCGGGAAGCAATAGAGCGATCGCGAGTACATGGTCAAGCGGACCCAGAAAGGCACATGTGCGTGGGCACACGGCCAGTGACTAAGTGAGTGAATGAAGATGTGTGTAACGCGGCGCGTATAGCAAGTTGTGTCGGTGGGTGGGCACAAGGCCAACTCACGCCACGAGGTACAGTACGGCTGCGGAAAAAGGTTTGCACCAAGGATATGAGCCAGTGAGAGTCACGATCGAGCGAGTGAGGGAAGGAGGCTATCATGAAGGGATGTGGGTGAGTGAAATGACAGAACTGAGCGAGGAATCACTTGAGTAGACTCGGCGCTCACGTAGATTTCGTGAACGGATGAAGTGAAAGAGAAAGTAAGCGAATGAAGCAAGTGGCAAGCTGAATAAGAGACCGCAGTACGTCAGGAAGGGCGTGAGTAAACACCGGAGGGCGTACATGCAAGTGACAGGCAATCAAACGAGCACAAGCAGTGAACAAGTTGAGCGCGCGATTGGAGATTGCGGCACCGCGAGGGAGCGATTCGTTGCATTTTGGAGACCCTCTGCTACTCACTGAAGGGAACTCAAGCAGGTCTGTGAGAGTGCGGCAAAAAAAGCTTTCCTGATTCCTGAGTTTATCCCGCTGGCACGGTTTTCAGCCACTCTGCGAGCTTAAACTGCACATGCATGGATCGAGATGCAACTCGCAAGAAGTAACTCCAGTGAGAGACTGCATGATCAAATATGCTGCCTAGTGAATGGAAAAGTCGAGTGGAGCAACCCTAAAACACGGTGATTTGAGCGAGGCGACTGTGTGATGGTGTAAGCCGAGCGAGTGCCTGGAGCAAGTGAGCTCGTGATTCACTCAGTATACAGTACGTACACACAGACAAGCACACCAGCACACTTTTTTCCAAGAATCCACACCAGTGACCACTTGAGAGCAGCTGCTTCCACCCAAAAGCATGAACCAATCCGGGCATGCATTCCTACTCCCTGCCCCCACCCACACCCCTTCGCAAGAGATGTCCCGGAACCTCTACCACCCCGACACTCCGGATGCACTGCCGCTGCCTGCCTGAACAATGCCAAAGCAAGGGCGCCAGCTTTCGCGAAGAGAGCCAACACATTACAGAGCTCGTCCCTGGAGCTTCAAGCACCCTGAACATCTTCAGATTTAGATGCTTGCGGTCCCACTTGACTTGGGTGTGGCTATATCCCAAACACTTGCACAGGCCCTTCGATGGTGCCTCTCGGTGCTGTCCGCCCAGCAGCACCGTCCAAAGCCATTCTCAAGGCCTCGGAGGCACTGTGGCGATGAAAGCAACGGTAAAGCCCCCGACGACCACCGGAGAGCCGAGACACCCGAGACGCCCATCATGCTCTGATCGTCCAGCATGGCCTATAGCTTCGATACTGCAAGCGAGCAGCGCACCATGATCCAACGAGAATGACGAGAAAGGCCCGCGCCTGGATGGCCCCGTGGAAAGGATTGCTGATCCCCTTCTCCTGCATGCCAGGGCAATCGTGCAGAAATAGACAGAAGACGGTGGCTTGTCATGCTCCCCCTTCTGCTGCCTTACCCAAAAGATCTGCGCCGGTGCAATCTCGAAGCCAGATCTGCCTGGCTTGCACGAAAGGTTCCGCTTGTGATTGTAAAACCGGTGCAAGTTTGCAGCTGGCCTTTCCGACAAGCGCTGCTGTGCGGACACCTCCGGCGAGCATCTTCCGTGCTGCTGCTGCAGTAGAGATGCCCTCACAGTGCAGCTTGTCTCGGTGCCTCGGAGGTTGCGAGCGCCGCTTCCTGGCAGCGACACAGACCAGCAGGCGAATTGGCTGAGACAGATGGAGGCAGCATCACTTCAGGCGAGTCCGGCTCTGCCTCCACTCCACAGGCTGTGCACAGCTCGCCCAGAGCCTCCAAGGCAAAATCACAAGGCCACGCTAGCTGTTGATGCACTGCTTGCGAGGAAAAAAATGCTGGATCGCGGTTTTGCGGGATTTTGTCGGTTAGTGGCCCTGTTGCGATGGCAGAATTGCCTAATTACCAATTGTCTCAGAAACAACGTAAATGTAAGACTCTGTAAGACTGTGCGAAGTCCCTGCCTGGACCGCTGCTCTCGTCTTGTCAGAGTTCGCTGGCCCCTGAGCAAGCTGCGCTCGCGATCCCATTAGAATCATTAGAGTCTTCTCGACTTTCCGATGGCCATGCCCAACTTCGAGAACATGGCAGCACACTGCAGCTCTCGCCAGCTCATGTCAATCAGCGTCTCTCTCGCCACAGGCCTTGCTCTCTGCCAGTGCTGCGGGCACCGCCTCGCGCACGCTTTCGAGTTTCAGCGTTTGGCGGGGGGCCGCAAGTGGACAGGAGGAAATGCGAAGGCGCTCAGGTCGCGACTGGCCACAGCAGCAGCTGAATCAATGGGACCAAGACTCCCGACACACGCTCCGTCTGCATCTTCTGCAAGAATCTGGCCAGGGAGCCTCAGCGGTTGCAAATGTTTGCTTCGCTCTGCCTCTGCATTCCTGCGCATCGGATCCTCAGAGGAAGGCGGACGGCCAGCACGGCAGCAAGCTGGTCCGGTGGATCCTCAGAAAGCTCCACGTGAGTGCGTTAAGCCGAACCTTCCGAGCTTGGCCTCTTCGGCAGCGCAGGCCATCTCCACTTCGGCGGCCTCGTGACCATGACCCTACTTCTAAGTGCCAGATGGGTGCTGAATCGTGAACGCGGGTCCTGCATCGCATCGACTCGCTCCGGCGCTGGCAAGGGCCTCTAGCACACACATCATGGCATGGCTCCACGAGGGGCGCAGGTACACGTCGCAGAAACGGTGCAACGACAAGGCGGCCGCCCGTTGTTCTCGACATCGATCATCATTATCTTCGCAAGAGGACCCGCAACAGGCTGACACCATCCAAGACAAGCGCAAGCAATCGCAAGCATGTCAGATGCCTCCCAGATGCTCTTGGGTCTGTTCATGTACCGGTGCCGCTCCGCCTGGCTCACGATGCTTCTGCGGCCACCCCAAACATTCCTGCAAACCCCAATCAGACGAGTGCTGCCAGCACGTGAAGCTGCGAGAGCAGCGGCCCGCAGACGATCAACTCTGCCACGGCCTGACACGCACAGAAAAACACTCCGAACACACAGCTCGCCGCTGGACTCGCCTGCGTCACTGCAGGCTGTCTAAGGCCCAAGAGGTCGATAACCAAGTCCAGCACGTCCTGAGCAGCTCAGACAAATTTGGAGCGCGAGATCTGGCATCGCAAGCCGGCGAGGGAGGCTCCTTCTCCATCGTCAGCGCGGCTTGGAGGGCACCAGAGCTGTCCTTGTGCATGGCCTTTGCCATTTGAGCCTCGGTTCTGTGGACACATGCTGCGCGTGCACTCCCTCACTCCCTCATCCCAGGAATCTCCACGATAACGCGAGCCGGGCCGCCCAAGCGCAATGCAGCCGTTCGGCCAGTTTCGGCAGCAACTGGCTTCGCAGCACCTGCACAACCGGCGCCAACGCTGGCTTGGCACGCCCAGGGCCAGCCCGACAGATTCGAGGACCGCCAGCTACAGCCTCGACGGCTGCGCCATGCACCTGGCGGAAGAAGTGGAGGCAAGGTCGCACTTGGAGACCACGTCAAGTGCGTCCCAGTGGCGAGAGGACTCTTTGACTGCAGGAGGCCTGGCACACAAACTTGTGCGAAGTACGTCGATGGCTCGCCGGGCACAGCTCGGGCAATTTCAAGCCAAGTTCGGCCGAGGTGCAAAGACAAACCATTCTTGCTCCTGTCTCGGCCATGTCGTAGCCGTGGAAGACGTATCTCATAGCCTGCCACGCGATCTTCTTCGATGCCCCTCACGATGCCAACGAAAAGACGTCTGCCTCCTCCATCAGAGGCAGCTTTGACTCCTGGCGCAGCGAAGGAGGGAAAGAGGATGCTCGCTGACTCACTCTTGAGCAGCGAAGTGCCGCACAAGTTTGAAAGCATGCAACGCCATGTAATGCCATGTAGAAGCTTGGCAACACTCCGAGCACGCGCGCCTCCAAGAACAGTTCCGCGTTCCTCAGACCGCAATCGCCATGACGTGATTCTGTGGAGGCAGGCACGTGTGCACTGCTCGAGACACTTGGCCCTGTGAGCGTCTGGCTCGCGCGTCAGCCGGAGAGCCATCCGCTTCAAGGCTGCGATGTAGTAGCCCTGATTGGTGCTTGTAAGACGCAGGCCAGGGCACCTGTGTTGAAAATGGTCCTGAGGAGATCCTGGGCACCTGGCCAGTGCATCGTGGGAGTTGTCCGGGATCTCCGGCCTGAGCGCGGACATGATGCAGCAATCCTCGCCAACGGCCGTGGCGGCCAGACCGAGCGTGGCCGAGCCCGGTGCTGCCCCTTTGCCAGCAGGTGCAGCTCACCGCTTGCCAACATGGCATCGAACGTGTCGTCGCGCACCTCGAGAGCGGCAACAGCAAGCAGAGTGGAAGGTGCGAAGGAGCAAGGCAGATCGGGCGAGGGAATGACAGGCTTCAAGCGGCTTCAACAAGTGCTGAAAAAATAGGCAGGCCACGTTCACCATAAGCAGCGACCTCGGGCCAGTGTGGTATGAACAACTGTTCACAGAGCGACAAGATGCACAAGCAGAATCGCAGGTCCCAGGGGCAAGGTGCGGAAGAGGGCATGGCGCACACGCCGCAGCGTGTGCTTTGCCAGCAGTCCGTGCTGGACAAGGAGCATCAGGCCCTGCGGCCGAGATGGCCCATACTAAAGGACGGGTAAGTTATGGCATATGGCATGGACCTGCAAGCACACTGTCTCTTGGCTCTTGACGCGAAGCCGTGATCAGATCTGGCCTTCCGCTCGTGAAAGACGCGGAAGAAGCCAGCGTGCTTCTCCTCGGAAAAGGAGAGCCTGCCAGGGCTGGGAGGTAAAGGCGGATGATGCTTAGCTCTTCGGGCGGATGTAGCCGGGTGGCGCGAAGCCGAGCTGCTCGATGCCTTCGGCGAGCGCCTTCATCAGCCGTTCTGAGAAAATATGTCCGAGATGATTGCTCGACTGAGCAGGCCACGTTTGCCGTCGAGTTCAAATGTGGAACTCGCTCCGTCAGGCCTTCGGACACCAAGCGGAGCCTCGGAAGGCAGTGGAAAGCTCTGCATCCAGCAAGTGCCGCGACTCGGACACCGTCACTCAGTGGGTGGCAGCTCTTCGAATCCCTCCAGTGTTCGGGGGAAATCCTGCATAGCATCAGCATGCCCTGCAACGCCTGCACGAACTCGAGTACGAGGCCCGGGCTTTCTCTGGAGAGGGCTCTGCCTTGCAACCGGCTGAGGCTGAAACTTCCGACGAGTCACGCGCTCCGCTGCAGGGTTGCGCCTCCCAGAGAGAAGAGACGGCTTCCACTGCCTCAGCGAGAAGGTGCAGGAAATTGACTGTGAAGCGCAGCCTTCTCGAGTGCAGCCGGGGAACGGCCGAGAGCCACTCCATGGATGCAGACGTGGCTATGCTGGGGGGCTTCCAGGTTCGACGATTGTGCACATGCAGAATCAGAACCTGGACTGTAGAGCGCCGCTGGCTCCTGCGACTTGTGACCCGTGACATGCAAGAATGCTTTGCTGGCCGCTCTTTGGCGAAGCCTCACGCTCAAAGCGATAGCTAATCAGCGATCCAAAGGAAAGAACAGCATTCGTGCAGAGACATGCCCTGCTTGAAGCGGATTGTTGGGTGAACCCGCACTGGCCGTCAAGTTGGCAACAAGGATGCAGCGGCAATTTTCGAAAAATCGTTCGCGCGCGAGTGCTAAGTGCTCATAGTCATGGCATCAGAAGCAGTCAGACCCGCCGTCCTCAGAGATGTGAGCAGAAGCTTCCGTAACCCTCGCATGTCTAGCACCCTCTCATGAACAGCATCCGAAAAATGCGCGGGCCTTTGCAGCGAGCTTCCGGCAGCAGATCCTCTTTCCGGGCACGTCAAGAGTGATCAGTGGCGAATTAGTGATTTCCTCTTCCACGAAACTTTGCAAGAACGGGACTGTACAGCGCATGGCATGGGTTACTCCTGTGACGCGAGGCCGGGCCCGACCAGCATGTTAAACATAACATCGATATGTTACCGGATGCTAGCCGCTGGCCCGTCATGGACTAGCAAGAGAACGACAAGCACGGAAAGAAGCGGTCCGTGTGACAGAAAACTTGCCACTCCATTTATAAGACCTTGTTGCAGCACGGTGTCTGACTTGATCCTGCATACATCGCGAAACTTCTGACGCCCCCGCTGCATGCATGCTTCACAAGCATTGCAGCATCTGCCATAAAGTCTGCTTTTGCTGCCTTGGTCGGCCACCTGCAACAGACGCACCAACCCGGGAACGCACAGAGCTGGCATTCGCTGAGGAGCACGACGCCGGCCTTCGTGCTGTGCACACTTCTGCTCGGCGGTGCCGGTTTTCGGCACCGCAGGGGCCTCCGCCTGCATCCCATCACACGACAAGACCCCCAACTGTGCCACAAGATGCCGTGTCAGAGGGGAAAAGCCACCTCGACCCATATTTCACAGTATTTCACAGAAGGTTCAGCCATGTCGGCCTTATTCAGCAGCAGCCCGGAATCGTGCAGCAGCGTGGGGTGGGTGGCCTTCGATACTTTATGTCAAATTAAACAGCAACCTACACAGCCTCGTTCTCACACTGAGTCCACGGCTTGGCACTGGCGAAGCAAATAGGATGCCACCACAGCGCAGGGCACCATACTGACGGAGGCGCATGAGTTTGGGCCCCCACTCTTTCACAACTCTGACTATCGACGGAAGAACGGCTCCAAACGTCCGCCGGCACGGAATGTCACAGCCGCCTTCTCACTACTATAGTACCAACAAAAGTCAACCCGGCACTTTGACGACCAGCAGCACCATCAACTGCACAAGCAGGGGTAGCTGCTGCTGGCGTGGGAAGCGCAAGCACGAGTGAAGCCGTAGATGACGAGTCATTGACGGCGCTGGAGTGCACATTTAAGCAAGCGAGTGAGCGGAGGCGGGGGGGTCGCTCCGTTGCATCGAAGTTCGGTGAAGCAGCTGCGTCAGCGGTGTGCGGCTGTTTAGCACCGGAGCCAACGGGTACATGAGTCAGGCGAGACAGCGAGGGAGTCTGACTGAGTGCATGAATTCGAACGCAAGGGCGGAGTGGAATGAGGCTGTCGTCACTGCGGCAACCTTAGCCCTGCCTCTGGGTGCTGATCCTGTTGCAGGTTACTAGCGAACAGTTGCCACATTCCGGGCGGCCTGCCGACTCCGTCCCCAGTGTACTTTCTATCTGCACCGAAGCTGCGAATAACAAAAACAGCTTTCAACGGCTCTGCGGGAAGCAATTCAGATAACAGAGCGATCGAAGCGAGGAGTGAGAGCAGCGGCTTTCGGGTGTGAGAGTGAGTAACGCAGGAGCTCGTGGGTACGTGGTTGAGCGGACCCATGAAGGGACACTGACTAAGTGAGTTAATGAAAATGTGCTTTTCGGCGAGTACAGCCGGAAGTTGTGTCGGTGGGTGGGCACAAAGCCAACATCTCATGCCATGAGGTACTGCAGTGCAGTTGGGTCCATTTAAGCAATATCCCAAACACTTGCACAGGCCCTTCGATGGTGCCTCTCGGTGCTGTCCGCCCAGCAGCACCGTCCAAAGCCATTGTCAAGGCCTCGGAGGCACTGTGGCGATGAAAGCAACGGTAAAGCCCCCGACGACCACCGGAGAGCCGAGACACCCGAGACGCCCATCATGCTCTGATCGTCCAGCATGGCCTATAGCTTCGATACTGCAAGCGAGCAGCGCACCATGATCCAACGAGAATGACGAGAAAGGCCCGCGCCTGGATGGCCCCGCGGAAAGGATTGCTGATCCCCTTCTCCTGCATGCCAGGGCAATCGTGCAGAAATAGACAGAAGACGGTGGCTTGTCATGCTCCCCCTTCTGCTGCCTTACCCAAAAGATCTGCGCCGGTGCAATCTCGAAGCCAGATCTGCCTGGCTTGCACGAAAGGTTCCGCTTGTGATTGTAAAACCGGTGCAAGTTCGCAGCTGGCCTTTCCGACAAGCGCTGCTGTGCGGACACCTCCGGCGAGCATCTTCCGTGCTGCTGCTGCAGTAGAGATGCCCTCACAGTGCAGCTTGTCTCGGTGCCTCGGAGGTTGCGAGCGCCGCTTCCTGGCAGCGACACAGACCAGCAGGCGAATTGGCTGAGACAGATGGAGGCAGCATCACTTCAGGCGAGTCCGGCTCTGCCTCCACTCCACAGGCTGTGCACAGCTCGCCCAGAGCCTCCAAGGCAAAATCACAAGGCCACGCTAGCTGTTGATGCACTGCTTGCGAGGAAAAAAATGCTGGATCGCGGTTTTGCGGGATTTTGTCGGTTAGTGGCCCTGTTGCGATGGCAGAATTGCCTAATTACCAATTGTCTCAGAAACAACGTAAATGTAAGACTCTGTAAGACTGTGCGAAGTCCCTGCCTGGACCGCTTCTCTCGTCTTGTCAGAGTTCGCTGGCCCCTGAGCAAGCTGCGCTCGCGATCCCATTAGAATCATTAGAGTCTTCTCGACTTTCCGATGGCCATGCCCAACTTCGAGAACATGGCAGCACACTGCAGCTCTCGCCAGCTCATGTCAATCAGCGTCTCTCTCGCCACAGGCCTTGCTCTCTGCCAGTGCTGCGGGCACCGCCTCGCGCACGCTTTCGAGTTTCAGCGTTTGGCGGGGGGCCGCAAGTGGACAGGAGGAAATGCGAAGGCGCTCAGGTCGCGACTGGCCACAGCAGCAGCTGAATCAATGGGACCAAGACTCCCGACACACGCTCCGTCTGCATCTTCTGCAAGAATCTGGCCAGGGAGCCTCAGCGGTTGCAAATGTTTGCTTCGCTCTGCCTCTGCATTCCTGCGCATCGGATCCTCAGAGGAAGGCGGACGGCCAGCACGGCAGCAAGCTGGTCCGGTGGATCCTCAGAAAGCTCCACGTGAGTGCGTTAAGCCGAACCTTCCGAGCTTGGCCTCTTCGGCAGCGCAGGCCATCTCCGCTTCGGCGGCCTCGTGACCATGACCCTACTTCCAAGTGCCAGATGGGTGCTGAATAGTGAACGCGGGTCCTGCATCGCATCGACTCGCTCCGGCGCTGGCAAGGGCCTCTAGCAGACTCTAGCACACACATCATGGCATGGCTCCACGAGGGGCGCAGGTACACGTCGCAGAAACGGTGCAACGACAAGGCGGCCGCCTGTTGTTCTCGACATCGATCATCATTATCTTCGCAGCGTGCAAAATCAAGACCCGCAGCAGACTGACACGATCCAAGACCAGCGCAAGCAAGCAGGCATGTCAGATGCCTCCCAGATGCTCTTGGGTCTGTTCATGTACCGGTGCCGCTCCGCCTGGCTCACGATGCTTCTGCGGCCACCCCAAACATTCCCGCAAACCCCAATCAGACGAGTGCTGCCAGCACGTGAAGCTGCGAGAGCAGCGGCCCGCAGACGATCAACTCTGCCACGGCCTGACACGCACAGAAAAACACTCCGAACACACAGCTCGCCGCTGGACTTGCCTGCGTCACTGCAGGCTGTCTAAGGCCCAAGAGGTCGATAACCAAGTCCAGCACGTCCTGAGCAGCTCAGACAAATTTGGAGCGCGAGATCTGGCATCGCAAGCGGGCGAGGGAGGCTCCTTCTCCATCGTCAGCGCGGCTTGGAGGGAACCAGAGCTGTCCTTGTGCATGGCCTTTGCCATTTGCGCCTCGGTTCTGTGGACACATGCTGCGGGTGCACTCCCTCACTCCCTCATCCCAGGAATCTCCACGATAACGCGAGCCGGGCCGCCCAAGCGCGATGCAGCCGTTCGGCCAGTTTCGGCAGCAACTGGCTTCGCAGCACCTGCACAACCGGCGCCAACGCTGGCTTGGCACGCCCAGGGCCAGCCCGACAGATTCGAGGACCGCCAGCTACAGCCTCGACGGCTGCGCCATGCACCTGGCGGAAGAAGTGGAGGCAAGGTCGCACTTGGAGGCCACTTCAAGTGCGTCCCAGTGGCGAGAGGACTCCTTGACTGCAGGAGGCCTGGCACACAAACTTGTGCGAAGTACGTCGATGGCTCGCCGGGCACAGCTCGGGCAATTTCAAGCCAAGTTCGGCCGAGGTGCAAAGACAAACCGTTCTTGCTCCTGTCTCGGCCATGTCGTAGCCGTGGAAGACGTATCTCATAGCCTGCCACGCGATCTTCTTCGATGCCCCTCACGATGCCAACGAAAAGACGTCTGCCTCCTCCATCAGAGGCAGCTTTGACTCCTGGCGCAGCGAAGGAGGGAAAGAGGATGCTCGCTGACTCACTCTTGAGCAGCGAAGTGCCGCACAAGTTTGAAAGCATGCAACGCCATGTAATGCCATGTAGAAGCTTGGCAACACTCCGAGCACGCGCGCCTCCAAGAACAGTTCCGCGTTCCTCAGACCGCAATCGCGGACGACAGAATTCTGTGGAGGCAGGCACGTGTGCACTGCTCGATACACTTGGCCATGTGAGCGTCTGGCTCGCGCGTCAGCCGGAGAGCCATCCGCTTCAAGGCTGCGATGTAGTAGCCCTGATTGGTGCTTGTAAGACGCAGGCCAGGGCACCTGTGTTGAAATGGTCCTGAGGAGATCCTGGGCACCTGGCCAGTGCATCGTGGGAGTTGTCCGGGATCTCCGGCCTGAGCGCGGACATGATGCAGCAATCCTCGCCAACGGCCGTGGCGGCCAGACCGAGCGTGGCCGAGCCCGGTGCTGCCCCTTTGCCAGCAGGTGCAGCTCACCGCTTGCCAACATGGCATCGAACGTGTCGTCGCGCACCTCGAGAGCGGCAACAGCAAGCAGAGTGGAAGGTGCGAAGGAGCAAGGCAGATCGGGCGAGGGAATGACAGGCTTCAAGCGGCTTCAACAAGTGCTGAAAAAATAGGCAGGCCACGTTCACCATAAGCAGCGACCTCGGGCCAGTGTGGTATGAACAACTGTTCACAGAGCGACAAGATGCACAAGCAGAATCGCAGGTCCCAGGGGCAAGGTGCGGAAGAGGGCATGGCGCACACGCCGCAGCGTGTGCTTTGCCAGCAGTCCGTGCTGGACAAGGAGCATCAGGCCCTGCGGCCGAGATGGCCCATACTAAAGGACGGGTAAGTTATGGCATATGGCATGGACCTGCAAGCACACTGTCTCTTGGCTCTTGACGCGAAGCCGTGATCAGATCTGGCCTTCCGCTCCTGAAAGACGCGGAAGAAGCCAGCGTGCTTCTCCTCGGAAAAGGAGAGCCTGCCAGGGCTGGGAGGTAAAGGCGGATGATGCTTAGCTCTTCGGGCGGATGTAGCCGGGTGGCGCGAAGCCGAGCTGCTCGATGCCTTCGGCGAGCGCCTTCATCAGCCGTTCTGAGAAAATATGTCCGAGATGATTGCTCGACTGAGCCGGCCACGTTTGATCACGTTTGCCGTCGAGTTCAGAGCTTTCCACTGCCTTCCGAGGCTCCGCTTGGTGTCCGAAGGCTTGACAGAGCGAGTGCCACATTTGAAGTTCAAATGTGGCACTCGCTCTGTCAAGCCTTCGGACACCAAGCGGAGCCTCGGAAGGGTTCGAAGCCCTCCAGTGTTCGCGGAAAGTCCTGCGTAGCATCGGCATGCCCTGCAACGCCTGCACGAACTCGAGTACGAGGCCCGGGCTTTCTCTGGAGAGGGCTCTGCCTTGCAACCGGCTGAGGCTGAAACTTCCGACGAGTCACGCGTCTCCGCTGCAGGGTTGCGCCTCCCAGAGAGAAGAGACGGCTTCCACTGCCTCAGCGAGAAGGTGCAGGAAATTGACTGTGAAGCGCAGCCTTCTCGAGTGCAGCCGGGGAACGGCCGAGAGCCACTCCATGGATGCAGACGTGGCTATGCTGGGGGGCTTCCAGGTTCGACGATTGTGCACATGCAGAATCAGAACCTGGACTGTAGAGCGCCGCTGGCTCCTGCGACTTGTGACCCGTGACATGCAAGAATGCTTTGCTGGCCGCTCTTTGGCGAAGCCTCACGCTCAAAGCGATAGCTAATCAGCGATCCAAAGGAAAGAACAGCATTCGTGCAGAGACATGCCCTGCTTGAAGCGGATTGTTGGGTGAACCCGCACTGGCCGTCAAGTTGGCAACAAGGATGCAGCGGCAATTTTCGAAAAATCGTTCGCGCGCGAGTGCTAAGTGCTCATAGTCATGGCATCAGAAGCAGTCAGACCCGCCGTCCTCAGAGATGTGAGCAGAAGCTTCCGTAACCCTCGCATGTGCAGCATCCCTCTCATGAACAGCATCCGAAAAATGCGCGGGCCTTTGCAGCGGGCTTCCGGCAGCAGATCCTCTTTCCGGGCACGGTCAAGAGTGATCAGTGGCGAATTAGTGATTTCCTCTTCCACGAAACTTTGCAAGAACGGGACTGTACAGCGCATGGCATGGGTTACTCCTCTGACGCGAGGCCGGGCCCGACCAGCATGTTAAACATAACATCGATATGTTACCGGATGCTAGCCGCTGGCCCGTCATGGACTAGCAAGAGAACGACAAGCACGGAAAGAAGCGGTCCGTGTGACAGAAAACTTGCCACTCCATTTATAAGACCTTGTTGCAGCACGGTGTCTGACTTGATCCTGCATACATCGCGAAACTTCTGACGCCCCCGCTGCATGCATGCTTCACAAGCATTGCAGCATCTGCCATAAAGTCTGCTTTTGCTGCCTTGGTCGGCCACCTGCAACAGACGCACCAACCCGGGAACGCACAGAGCTGGCATTCGCTGAGGAGCACGACGCCGGCCTTCGTGCTGTGCACACTTCTGCTCGGCGGTGCCGGTTTTCGGCACCGCAGGGGCCTCCGCCTGCATCCCATCACACGACAAGACCCCCAACTGTGCCACAAGATGCCGTGTCAGAGGGGAAAAGCCACCTCGACTCATATTTCACAGTATTTCACAGAAGGCTCAGCCACGTCGGCCTTATTCAGCAGCAGCCCGGAATCGTGCAGCAGCGTGGGGTGGGTGGCCTTCGATACTTTATGTCAAATTAAACAGCAAGCTACACAGCCTCGTTCTCACACTGAGTCCACGGCTTGGCACTGGCGAAGCAAATAAGATGCCACCACAGCGCAGGGCACCATACTGACGGAGTCGCATGAGTTTGGGCCCCCACTCTCTCACAACTCTGGGAAGAATGACTCCAAACGTCCGCCGGCACGGAATATCACAGGGTATGTTGCCTTCTCACTACCATAGCACCTACTTGAGAGGCGCTCCAGGGCCAACAAAAGCCAACCCCGCACCTTGGGAACCAGCACCATCAACTACAGAAGCAGGGGTAGCTGCTGCTGGTATGAGAGACGCAAGCATGAGTGAGTGAAGCCGTGGATGACGAGTCATTGACGGCGAAAGGATACACAAGTCTAGCAAGCGAGTGAGCGGAGGGGGGTGCTCCGTTGCGTTCGAGTTCAGTGAAGAAGCTGGGTCAGAGGAACGCTGCTGTAGAGCACTGGAGCCAACGGGTACATGAGTCAGGCGAGAGAGCGAGGGAGTCAGACTAAGTGCGACTTCGTTAGCAAGGGCGCCAGGGATATCGGTAGGGAGGGAGGAGGGGAGGCGAATGTGTGTGTGTGTGTGGTTGGCTGAAGTAAAGAGTGGAATGAGGCTGTCGTCACTGCGGCAACCTTAGCCCTGCCTCTGGGTGCTGATCATGTTGCAGGTTACTAGCGAACAGTTGCCACATTTTCGTGCTTGCGGACAGGGCGGCCTGCCGACTCCGTCCCCAGGATACTTTCTATCTGCACCGAAGCTGCGAATAACAAAAACAGCTTTCAACTGCTCTGCGGGAAGCAATAGAGCGATCGTGGGTACATGGGCGAGTGAGGGAAGGAGGCTATCATAAAGGGATGTGGGTGAGTGAAATGACAGAGCTGAGCGAGGAATCACTCGAGTAGACTCGGTGCTCACGTAGACTTCGTGAACGGATGAAGTGAAAGAGAAAGTAAGTGAATGAAGCAAGTGGCAAGCTGAATAAGAGACCGCAGTACGTCAGGAAGGGCGTGAGTAAACACCGGAGGGCGTACATGCAAGTGACAGGCAATCAAACGATATCAAACGAGCACAAGCAGTGAACAAGTTAAGCGCGCGATTGGAGATTGCGGCACCGCGAGGGAGCGGTTCGTTGCATTTTGGAGACCCTCTGCTACTCACTGAAGGGAACTCAAGCAGGTCTGTGAGAGTGCGGCAAAAAAGCTTTCCTGATTCCTGAGTTTATCCCGCTGGCACGGCTTTCAGCCACTCTGCGAGCTTAAACTGCACATGCATGGATCGAGATGATACGCGAAAGAAGTAACCCCAGTGAGAGACTGCATGATCAAATATGCTGCCTAGTGAATGGAAAAGTCGAGACGAGCAACCCTAAAACACGGTGATTTGAGCGAGGCGACTGTGTGATGGTGTAAGCCGAGCGAGTGCCTGGAGCAAGTGAGCTCGTGACACACTCAGCATACAGTACGTACACACAGACAAGCACACCAGCACACTTCTTTGCAAGAATCCACACCATTGACCACTTGAGAGCAGCTGCTTCCACCCAACAGCATGAACCAATCCGGGCATGCATTCCTACTCCCTGCCCCCACCCACACCCCTTCGCAAGAGATGTCCCGGAACCTCTACCACCCCGACACTGCGGATGCACTGCCGCTGCCTGCCTGAACAATGCCAAAGCAAGGGCGCCAGCTTTTGCGAAGAGAGCCAACACATTACAGAGCTCGTCCCTGGAGCTTCAAGCACCCTGAACATCTTCAGATTTAGATGCTTGGGGTCCCACTTGGGTGTGGCTATATCCCAAACACTTGCACAGGCCCTTCGATGGTGCCTCTCGGTGCTGTCCGCCCAGCAGCACCGTCCAAAGCCATTCTCAAGGCCTCGGAGGCACTGTGGCGATGAAAGCAACGGTAAAGCCCCCGACGACCACCGGAGAGCCGAGACACCCGAGACGCCCATCATGCTCTGGTCGTCCAGCATGGCCTATAGCTTCGATACTGCAAGCGAGCAGCGCACCATGATCCAACGAGAATGACGAGAAAGGCCCGCGCCTGGATGGCCCCGCGGAAAGGATTGCTGATCCCCTTCTCCTGCATGCCAGGGCAATCGTGCAGAAATAGACAGAAGACGGTGGCTTGTCATGCTCCCCCTTCTGCTGCCTTACCCAAAAGATCTGCGCCGGTGCAATCTCGAAGCCAGATCTGCCTGGCTTGCACGAAAGGTGCCGCTTGTGATTGCCGAACCGGTGCAAGTTCGCAGCTGGCCTCTCCGACAAGCGCTGCTGTGTGGAAACCTCCGGCGAGCATCTTCCGTGCTGCTGCTGCTGCTGCAGTAGAGATGCCCTCACAGTGCAGCTTGTCTCGGTGCCTCAGAGGTTGCGAGCGCCGCTTCCTGGCAGCGACACAGACCAGCAGGCAAATTGGCTGAGACAGATGGAGGCAGCATCACTTCAGGCGAGTCCGGCTCTGCCTCCACTCCACAGGCTGTGCACAGCTCGCCCAGAGCCTCCAAGGCAAAATCACAAGGCCACGCTAGCTGTTGATGCACTCACTTTGCTGAATTTGCGGGTTTGTGGGATTGTGTCGGTTAGGGGCCCTGGTGCGATGGGCGATGGCAGCCACTAGCAATACTTTCTCAGAAACAATGTAAGACCGTGCAAAGTCTTTGCCTGAACCGCTGCCCTCGTCTTGTCAGCGTTCGCTGGCTCCTGGGCAGGCTGCGCTCGCGATCCCATTAGAGTCTCCCCGACTCTCCGGTGGCTGTGCTTCGAGAACATGGCAGCACACGGCAGCTCTCGCCAGCTCATGTCAATCAGCGTCTCTCTCGCCACAGGCCTTGCTCTCTGCCAGTGCTGCGGGCACCGCCTCGCACACGCTTTCGAGTTTCAGCGTTTGGCTCGGGGCCGCAAGTGAACAGGAGGAAATGCGAAGGCGCTGAGGTCGCGACTGGCCACAGCAGCAGCTGAATCAATGGGACCAAGACTCCCGACACACGCTCCGTCTGCATCTTCTGCAAGAATCTGGCCAGGGAGCCTCAGCGGTTGCAAATGTTTGCTTCCCTCTGCCTCTGCATTCCTGCGCATCGGATCCTCAGAGGAAGGCGGACGGCCAGCACGGCAGCAAGCTGGTCCGGTGGATCCTCAGAAAGCTCCACGTGAGTGCGTTAAGCCGAACCTTCCGAGCTTGGCCTCTTCGGCAGCGCAGGCCATCTCCGCTTCGGCGGCCTCGTGACCATGACCCTACTTCCAAGTGCCAGATGGGTGCTGAATCGTGACCGCTGGTCCTGCATCGCATCGACTCGCTCCGGCGCTGGCAAGGGCCTCTAGCACACACATCATGGCATGGCTCCACGAGGGGCGCAGGTACACGTCGCAGAAACGGTGCAACGACAAGGCGGCCGCCCGTTGTTCTCGACATCGATCATCATTATCTTCGCATGAGGACCCGCAACAGGCTGACACCATCCAAGACAAGCGCAAGCAATCGCAAGCATGTCAGATGCCTCCCAGATGCTCTTGGGTCTGTTCATGTACCGGTGCCGCTCCGCCTGGCTCACGATGCTTCTGCGGCCACCCCAAACATTCCCGCAAACCCCAATCAGACGAGTGCTGCCAGCACGTGCAGCTGCGAGAGCAGCGGCCCGCAGACGATCAACTCTGCCACGGCCTGACACGCACAGAAAACACTCCGAACACACAGCTCGCCGCTGGACTTGCCTGCGTCACTGCAGGCTGTCTAAGGCCCAAGAGGTCGATAACCAAGTCCAGCACGTCCTGAGCAGCTCAGACAAATTTGGAGCGCGAGATCTGGCATCGCAAGCGGGCGAGGGAGGCTCCTTCTCCATCGTCAGCGCGGCTTGGAGGGAACCAGAGCTGTCCTTGTGCATGGCCTTTGCCATTTGCGCCTCGGTTCTGTGGACACATGCTGCGCGTGCGCTCCCTCACTCCCTCATCCCAGGAATCTCCACGATAACGCGAGCCGGGCCACCCAAGCGCAATGCAGCCGTTCGACCAGTTTCGGCAGCAACTGGCTTCGCAGCACCTGCACAACCGGCGCCAACGCGGGCTTGGCACGGCCAGGGCCAGCCCGACAGATTCGAGGACCGCCAGCTGCAGCCTCGACGGCTGCGCCATGCACCTGGCGGAAGAAGTGGCGGCAAGGTCGCACTTGGAGACCACGTCAAGTGCGTCCCAGTGGCGAGAGGACTCTTTGACTGCAGGAGGCCTGGCACACAAACTTGTGCGAAGTACGTCGATGGCTAGCCGGGCACAGCTCGGGCAATTTCAAGCCAAGTTCTGCCGAGGTGCAAAGACAAACCGTTCTTGCTCCTATCTCGGCCATGTCGTAGCCGTGGAAGACGTATCTCATAGCCTGCCACGCGATCTTCTTCGATGCCCCTCACGATGCCAACGCAAAGACGTCTGCCTCCTCCATCAGAGGCAGCTTTGACTCCTGGCGCAGCGAAGGAGGGAAAGAGGATAGCAGCGAAGTGCCGCACAAGTTTGAAAGCATGCAACGCCATGTAGAAGCTTGGCAACACTCCGAAGCACGCGTGCCTCCAAGAACAGTTCCGCATTCCTCAGACCGCAATCGCGGACGACAGAATTCTGTGGAGGCAGGCACGTGTGCACTGCGCGATACACTTGGCCCTGTGAGCGTCTGGCTCGCGCGTCAGCCGGAGAGCCATCCGCTTCAAGGCTGCGATGTAGTAGCCCTGATTGGTGCTTGTAAGACGCAGGCCAGGGCACCTGTGTTGAAAATGGTCCTGAGGAGATCCTGGGCACCTGGCCAGTGCATCGTGGGAGTTGTCCGGGATCTCCGGCCTCAGCGCGGACATGATGCAGCAATCCTCGCCAACGGCCGTGGCGGCCAGACCGAGCGTGGCCGAGCCCGGTGCTGCCCCTTTGCCAACAGGTGCAGCTCACCGCTTGCCAACATGGCATCGAACGTGTCGTCGCGCACCTCGAGAGCGGCAACAGCAAGCAGAGTGGAAGGTGCGAAGGAGCAAGGCAGATCGGGCGAGGGAATGACAGGCTTCAAGCGGCTTCAACAAGTGCTGAAAAAATAGGCAGGCCACGTTCACCATAAGCAGCGACCTCGGGCCAGTGTGGTATGAACAACTGTTCACAGAGCGACAAGATGCACAAGCAGAATCGCAGGTCCCAGGGGCAAGGTGCGGAAGAGGGCATGGCGCACACGCCGCAGCGTGTGCTTTGCCAGCAGTCCGTGCTGGACAAGGAGCATCAGGCCCTGCGGCCGAGATGGCCCATACTAAAGGACGGGTAAGTTATGGCATATGGCATGGACCTGCAAGCACACTGTCTCTTGGCTCTTGACGCGAAGCCGTGATCAGATCTGGCCTTCCGCTCCTGAAAGACGCGGAAGAAGCCAGCGTGCTTCTCCTCGGAAAAGGAGAGCCTGCCAGGGCTGGGAGGTAAAGGCGGATGATGCTTAGCTCTTCGGGCGGATGTAGCCGGGTGGCGCGAAGCCGAGCTGCTCGATGCCTTCGGCGAGCGCCTTCATCAGCCGTTCTGAGAAAATATGTCCGAGATGATTGCTCGACTGAGCAGGCCACGTTTGCCGTCGAGTTCAAATGTGGAACTCGCTCCGTCAGGCCTTCGGACACCAAGCGGAGCCTCGGAAGGCAGTGGAAAGCTCTGCATCCAGCAAGTGCCGCGACTCGGACACCGTCACTCAGTGGGTGGCAGCTCTTCGAATCCCTCCAGTGTTCGGGGGAAATCCTGCATAGCATCAGCATGCCCTGCAACGCCTGCACGAACTCGAGTACGAGGCCCGGGCTTTCTCTGGAGAGGGCTCTGCCTTGCAACCGGCTGAGGCTGAAACTTCCGACGAGTCACGCGCTCCGCTGCAGGGTTGCGCCTCCCAGAGAGAAGAGACGGCTTCCACTGCCTCAGCGAGAAGGTGCAGGAAATTGACTGTGAAGCGCAGCCTTCTCGAGTGCAGCCGGGGAACGGCCGAGAGCCACTCCATGGATGCAGACGTGGCTATGCTGGGGGGCTTCCAGGTTCGACGATTGTGCACATGCAGAATCAGAACCTGGACTGTAGAGCGCCGCTGGCTCCTGCGACTTGTGACCCGTGACATGCAAGAATGCTTTGCTGGCCGCTCTTTGGCGAAGCCTCACGCTCAAAGCGATAGCTAATCAGCGATCCAAAGGAAAGAACAGCATTCGTGCAGAGACATGCCCTGCTTGAAGCGGATTGTTGGGTGAACCCGCACTGGCCGTCAAGTTGGCAACAAGGATGCAGCGGCAATTTTCGAAAAATCGTTCGCGCGCGAGTGCTAAGTGCTCATAGTCATGGCATCAGAAGCAGTCAGACCCGCCGTCCTCAGAGATGTGAGCAGAAGCTTCCGTAACCCTCGCATGTCTAGCACCCTCTCATGAACAGCATCCGAAAAATGCGCGGGCCTTTGCAGCGAGCTTCCGGCAGCAGATCCTCTTTCCGGGCACGTCAAGAGTGATCAGTGGCGAATTAGTGATTTCCTCTTCCACGAAACTTTGCAAGAACGGGACTGTACAGCGCATGGCATGGGTTACTCCTGTGACGCGAGGCCGGGCCCGACCAGCATGTTAAACATAACATCGATATGTTACCGGATGCTAGCCGCTGGCCCGTCATGGACTAGCAAGAGAACGACAAGCACGGAAAGAAGCGGTCCGTGTGACAGAAAACTTGCCACTCCATTTATAAGACCTTGTTGCAGCACGGTGTCTGACTTGATCCTGCATACATCGCGAAACTTCTGACGCCCCCGCTGCATGCATGCTTCACAAGCATTGCAGCATCTGCCATAAAGTCTGCTTTTGCTGCCTTGGTCGGCCACCTGCAACAGACGCACCAACCCGGGAACGCACAGAGCTGGCATTCGCTGAGGAGCACGACGCCGGCCTTCGTGCTGTGCACACTTCTGCTCGGCGGTGCCGGTTTTCGGCACCGCAGGGGCCTCCGCCTGCATCCCATCACACGACAAGACCCCCAACTGTGCCACAAGATGCCGTGTCAGAGGGGAAAAGCCACCTCGACCCATATTTCACAGTATTTCACAGAAGGTTCAGCCATGTCGGCCTTATTCAGCAGCAGCCCGGAATCGTGCAGCAGCGTGGGGTGGGTGGCCTTCGATACTTTATGTCAAATTAAACAGCAACCTACACAGCCTCGTTCTCACACTGAGCCCACGGCTTGGCACTGGCGAAGCAAATAGGATGCCACCACAGCGCAGGGCACCATACTGACGGAGGCGCATGAGTTTGGGCCCCCACTCTTTCACAACTCTGACTATCGACGGAAGAACGGCTCCAAACGTCCGCCGGCACGGAATGTCACAGCCGCCTTCTCACTACTATAGTACCAACAAAAGTCAACCCGGCACTTTGACGACCAGCAGCACCATCAACTGCACAAGCAGGGGTAGCTGCTGCTGGCGTGGGAAGCGCAAGCACGAGTGAAGCCGTAGATGACGAGTCATTGACGGCGCTGGAGTGCACATTTAAGCAAGCGAGTGAGCGGAGGCGGGGGGGTCGCTCCGTTGCATCGAAGTTCGGTGAAGCAGCTGCGTCAGCGGTGTGCGGCTGTTTAGCACCGGAGCCAACGGGTACATGAGTCAGGCGAGACAGCGAGGGAGTCTGACTGAGTGCATGAATTCGAACGCAAGGGCGGAGTGGAATGAGGCTGTCGTCACTGCGGCAACCTTAGCCCTGCCTCTGGGTGCTGATCCTGTTGCAGGTTACTAGCGAACAGTTGCCACATTCCGGGCGGCCTGCCGACTCCGTCCCCAGTGTACTTTCTATCTGCACCGAAGCTGCGAATAACAAAAACAGCTTTCAACGGCTCTGCGGGAAGCAATTCAGATAACAGAGCGATCGAAGCGAGGAGTGAGAGCAGCGGCTTTCGGGTGTGAGAGTGAGTAACGCAGGAGCTCGTGGGTACGTGGTTGAGCGGACCCATGAAGGGACACTGACTAAGTGAGTTAATGAAAATGTGCTTTTCGGCGAGTACAGCCGGAAGTTGTGTCGGTGGGTGGGCACAAAGCCAACATCTCATGCCATGAGGTACTGCAGTGCAGTTGGGTCCATTTAAGCAATATCCCAAACACTTGCACAGGCCCTTCGATGGTGCCTCTCGGTGCTGTCCGCCCAGCAGCACCGTCCAAAGCCATTGTCAAGGCCTCGGAGGCACTGTGGCGATGAAAGCAACGGTAAAGCCCCCGACGACCACCGGAGAGCCGAGACACCCGAGACGCCCATTATGCTCTGATCGTCCAGCATGGCCTATAGCTTCGATACTGCAAGCGAGCAGCGCACCATGATCCAACGAGAATGACGAGAAAGGCCCGCGCCTGGATGGCCCCGCGGAAAGGATTGCTGATCCCCTTCTCCTGCATGCCAGGGCAATCGTGCAGAAATAGACAGAAGACGGTGGCTTGTCATGCTCCCCCTTCTGCTGCCTTACCCAAAAGATCTGCGCCGGTGCAATCTCGAAGCCAGATCTGCCTGGCTTGCACGAAAGGTTCCGCTTGTGATTGTAAAACCGGTGCAAGTTCGCAGCTGGCCTTTCCGACAAGCGCTGCTGTGCGGACACCTCCGGCGAGCATCTTCCGTGCTGCTGCTGCAGTAGAGATGCCCTCACAGTGCAGCTTGTCTCGGTGCCTCGGAGGTTGCGAGCGCCGCTTCCTGGCAGCGACACAGACCAGCAGGCGAATTGGCTGAGACAGATGGAGGCAGCATCACTTCAGGCGAGTCCGGCTCTGCCTCCACTCCACAGGCTGTGCACAGCTCGCCCAGAGCCTCCAAGGCAAAATCACAAGGCCACGCTAGCTGTTGATGCACTGCTTGCGAGGAAAAAAATGCTGGATCGCGGTTTTGCAGGATTTTGTCGGTTAGTGGCCCTGTTGCGATGGCAGAATTGCCTAATTACCAATTGTCTCAGAAACAACGTAAATGTAAGACTCTGTAAGACTGTGCGAAGTCCCTGCCTGGACCGCTGCTCTCGTCTTGTCAGAGTTCGCTGGCCCCTGAGCAAGCTGCGCTCGCGATCCCATTAGAATCATTAGTCTTCTCGACTTTCCGATGGCCATGCCCAACTTCGAGAACATGGCAGCACACTGCAGCTCTCGCCAGCTCATGTCAATCAGCGTCTCTCTCGCCACAGGCCTTGCTCTCTGCCAGTGCTGCGGGCACCGCCTCGCGCACGCTTTCGAGTTTCAGCGTTTGGCGGGGGGCCGCAAGTGGACAGGAGGAAATGCGAAGGCGCTCAGGTCGCGACTGGCCACAGCAGCAGCTGAATCAATGGGACCAAGACTCCCGACACACGCTCCGTCTGCATCTTCTGCAAGAATCTGGCCAGGGAGCCTCAGCGGTTGCAAATGTTTGCTTCGCTCTGCCTCTGCATTCCTGCGCATCGGATCCTCAGAGGAAGGCGGACGGCCAGCACGGCAGCAAGCTGGTCCGGTGGATCCTCAGAAAGCTCCACGTGAGTGCGTTAAGCCGAACCTTCCGACCTTGGCCTCTTCGGCATCGGCAGCGCAGGCCATCTCCGCTTCGGCGGCCTCGTGACCATGACCCTACTTCCAAGTGCCAGATGGGTGCTGAATAGTGAACGCGGGTCCTGCATCGCATCGACTCGCTCCGGCGCTGGCAAGGGCCTCTAGCAGACTCTAGCACACACATCATGGCATGGCTCCACGAGGGGCGCAGGTACACGTCGCAGAAACGGTGCAACGACAAGGCGGCCGCCCGTTGTTCTCGACATCGATCATCATTATCTTCGCAGCGTGCAAAATCAAGACCCGCAGCAGACTGACACGATCCAAGACAAGCGCAAGCAAGCAGGCATGTCAGATGCCTCCCAGATGCTCTTGGGTCTGTTCATGTACCGGTGCCGCTCCGCCTGGCTCACGATGCTTCTGCGGCCACCCCAAACATTCCCGCAAACCCCAATCAGACGAGTGCTGCCAGCACGTGAAGCTGCGAGAGCAGCGGCCCGCAGACGATCAACTCTGCCACGGCCTGACACGCACAGAAAAACACTCCGAACACACAGCTCGCCGCTGGACTTGCCTGCGTCACTGCAGGCTGTCTAAGGCCCAAGAGGTCGATAACCAAGTCCAGCACGTCCTGAGCAGCTCAGACAAATTTGGAGCGCGAGATCTGGCATCGCAAGCGGGCGAGGGAGGCTCCTTCTCCATCGTCAGCGCGGCTTGGAGGGCACCAGAGCTGTCCTTGTGCATGGCCTTTGCCATTTGCGCCTCGGTTCTGTGGACACATGCTGCGCGTGCACTCCCTCACTCCCTCATCCCAGGAATCTCCACGATAACGCGAGCCGGGCCGCCCAAGCGCAATGCAGCCGTTCGGCCAGTTTCGGCAGCAACTGGCTTCGCAGCACCTGCACAACCGGTGCCAACGCGGGCTTGGCACGGCCAGGGCCAGCCCGACAGATTCGAGGACCGCCAGCTGCAGCCTCGACGGCTGCGCCATGCACCTGGCGGAAGAAGTGGCGGCAAGGTCGCACTTGGAGACCACGTCAAGTGCGTCCCAGTGGCGAGAGGACTCTTTGACTGCAGGAGGCCTGGCACACAAACTTGTGCGAAGTACGTCGATGGCTAGCCGGGCACAGCTCGGGCAATTTCAAGCCAAGTTCTGCCGAGGTGCAAAGACAAACCGTTCTTGCTCCTATCTCGGCCATGTCGTAGCCGTGGAAGACGTATCTCATAGCCTGCCACGCGATCTTCTTCGATGCCCCTCACGATGCCAACGCAAAGACGTCTGCCTCCTCCATCAGAGGCAGCTTTGACTCCTGGCGCAGCGAAGGAGGGAAAGAGGATAGCAGCGAAGTGCCGCACAAGTTTGAAAGCATGCAACGCCATGTAGAAGCTTGGCAACACTCCGAGCACGCGTGCCTCCAAGAACAGTTCCGCATTCCTCAGACCGCAATCGCGGACGACAGAATTCTGTGGAGGCAGGCACGTGTGCACTGCGCGATACACTTGGCCCTGTGAGCGTCTGGCTCGCGCGTCAGCCGGAGAGCCATCCGCTTCAAGGCTGCGATGTAGTAGCCCTGATTGGTGCTTGTAAGACGCAGGCCAGGGCACCTGTGTTGAAAATGGTCCTGAGGAGATCCTGGGCACCTGGCCAGTGCATCGTGGGAGTTGTCCGGGATCTCCGGCCTGAGCGCGGACATGATGCAGCAATCCTCGCCAACGGCCGTGGCGGCCAGACCGAGCGTGGCCGAGCCCGGTGCTGCCCCTTTGCCAGCAGGTGCAGCTCACCGCTTGCCAACATGGCATCGAACGTGTCGTCGCGCACCTCGAGAGCGGCAACAGCAAGCAGAGTGGAAGGTGCGAAGGAGCAAGGCAGATCGGGCGAGGGAATGACAGGCTTCAAGCGGCTTCAACAAGTGCTGAAAAAATAGGCAGGCCACGTTCACCATAAGCAGCGACCTCGGGCCAGTGTGGTATGAACAACTGTTCACAGAGCGACACGATGCACAAGCAGAATCGCAGGTCCCAGGGGCAAGGTGCGGAAGAGGGCATGGCGCACACGCCGCAGCGTGTGCTTTGCCAGCAGTCCGTGCTGGACAAGGAGCATCAGGCCCTGCGGCCGAGATGGCCCATACTAAAGGACGGGTAAGTTATGGCATATGGCATGGACCTGCAAGCACACTGTCTCTTGGCTCTTGACGCGAAGCCGTGATCAGATCTGGCCTTCCGCTCCTGAAAGACGCGGAAGAAGCCAGCGTGCTTCTCCTCGGAAAAGGAGAGCCTGCCAGGGCTGGGAGGTAAAGGCGGATGATGCTTAGCTCTTCGGGCGGATGTAGCCGGGTGGCGCGAAGCCGAGCTGCTCGATGCCTTCGGCGAGCGCCTTCATCAGCCGTTCTGAGAAAATATGTCCGAGATGATTGCTCGACTGAGCAGGCCACGTTTGCCGTCGAGTTCAAATGTGGAACTCGCTCCGTCAGGCCTTCGGACACCAAGCGGAGCCTCGGAAGGCAGTGGAAAGCTCTGCATCCAGCAAGTGCCGCGACTCGGACACCGTCACTCAGTGGGTGGCAGCTCTTCGAATCCCTCCAGTGTTCGGGGGAAATCCTGCATAGCATCAGCATGCCCTGCAACGCCTGCACGAACTCGAGTACGAGGCCCGGGCTTTCTCTGGAGAGGGCTCTGCCTTGCAACCGGCTGAGGCTGAAACTTCCGACGAGTCACGCGCTCCGCTGCAGGGTTGCGCCTCCCAGAGAGAAGAGACGGCTTCCACTGCCTCAGCGAGAAGGTGCAGGAAATTGACTGTGAAGCGCAGCCTTCTCGAGTGCAGCCGGGGAACGGCCGAGAGCCACTCCATGGATGCAGACGTGGCTATGCTGGGGGGCTTCCAGGTTCGACGATTGTGCACATGCAGAATCAGAACCTGGACTGTAGAGCGCCGCTGGCTCCTGCGACTTGTGACTCGTGACATGCAAGAACGCTTTGCTGGCCGCTCTTTGGCGAAGCCTCACGCTCAAAGCGGGAGCTGATCAGCGATCCAAATGAAAGAGCAGCCGCACTGGCCGTCAAGTATGCATGCAAGGCGACATGGAACCAAGGTTGACAGCACTCATTTCAGAAATGCCCCGAGTGTCTATCGTGAGACTCACGAAAAGCAACTGAGCAAATCAGGTCAAGTTCAAGCGAATAAGGCTTCCCCTGCTTCGTGCATCAAATCCTGTCTGCGACTACTGAGCTTTGGCTGTCAAGACCCAGCAGGCAAGGCCGGAAAGGCATGGCAAGCTTGCTCAAGCAAGGCAGTGGCCGAACCAACAATCCACACCACTGAATTTGCCCACCACAGCGGGAATCTGCGAGCTAGGCTGGTCCATACTTTCCTGGTATCCCTGCACGGTTCGCAGAAACCCGAGCAGCATGGGCGCCAATTTTGCACAGGGTAACTCAGAGACAAGGCAAGGCCTGTCTCAGTCAAGCTCGTCGAAAGCGCAGGCGACTGGGACCACCTCTGTCGGTGGAGCCGGTGATCTTTGTCCTGCTTTTGGACGTTTCGGTGCACCTTGGAGTGAGCTACTTTGGCAGGCTGGCACTCCGTCTACTGACCTCGTGACCCATCGATCACCATCATTCAAATGCTCTGCTTCGTGCAGTCCAAGCAACGAGGAGCTGCTGCGACAGGCACATCGACTTTGCAAGCCTCGGGCTGACTGGTTGCTTACAGGTCCCTTGCATTTCGTGGCCTTGTCACACTGAGGATCCAGCCCGACAGACTGCTCGTAGAACACAGTCACGAGCCAACTGGTTGCACTGCTCCGTCTCGGTCACCTGTTGCAAATTTTCAATCGCTCGCAACCCCCAAGAAGGTAATCCCACACCCCAATCTGGGCTCATGACGCGAGGGCAGGCAGAGCTTCTTCGGCGTCTGTAGAAACCATAATTGCTGGATGGTGCGGACTTTGCTGGACCTTGCGAGGCGACACCGCGCAAACGCAAAGAGCAGGCACTACGGGTAGCTGCTTAGATTCTAAGATGTTCAGACATGTGACTGCCGCGTCCATTGCTGCGGCTTTGGAACCTCTCTACGTCTCCCACAGCACCTCAGGTCAGATCAAACCTACTCCCTGGCGAAGCACGTGCCGCTTCCTCTGAATCGTTTCGCAGTCGCCTTTCAGAAGGTGCATGAACTTGTTCACAGTGTCGAAAACCTCGGGAAAAATCCACCTCCCTGCCACAGCTACGAACAAGTTCTGCTGCTTGCCGCCAAAGAGCAGAACGGACACTAACCCCCAGTTCCACTGGCGATGCCTCCTGGCTGGCATTCTGCGGCCTCGTGCCAAGCTTTGGACAGTGTAGACCGACCCATCCTTTTTCGGGTATGCTGTGCTTCATCCAAGCTACGGCTTCTGCCCCAAGAAAAGCAGGAGTCGCTTACCCTCCTCCATCGTTTCATTCAAACTGTTTGTCAAGCGCTCCACAGTGCCCTCTGCCTCAGATAGCATTCTGAGGTTTGCAGCGCAGGTCGTGTCCAACACACACGTGCCCAAGACAAGACGTTCTGAATCATGAGCCTCATCTGCCAAGGCTGTCATCCTCGCGTATGTGGAGACTGAAGAGACCTGCGCTCTGAAAGCCAGGGCAGACGCATCTTTCCGATTTCCTTGATATGGCCCTCCCTTCTTTCGTCCCTCCCCCCAATTCCCCCCCCCCCACCCCCCCGCGGGCGTCGGCATTGAGGTGCCGCAGCCGGGCCGTCAGCAAGCCCGTGCTTGACCCCGCACAGGTTGCTCGGTCAGGGCCTCGGTGCTAAAATCAGCTTATCAAAAACCTGAGACTCTCAGCTTCTCAGCTTCTGTTTCCAAAGATGTCATGGCCAGGCCCCAGTCCGGGGGAAGGCGCCGCAGCTTCCGGCTCCGATATCGTCTGCGTGCTTTCGGAGTCCGAGTCCGAGTCCTGATTTCTATCCGAATCCGAATCCCTACTTTACTTCATTTCGAAAAAGGCAGCTCTGCCTCGGAGCTCGAATCACAGGTCTGCCTCTCCACGATGCCTTCGGGAAGCCATGGAGCATCAAACGAGCCGTGTCACTGACTTCATGGTGTCTTGCAAATTGAGCCACGCGGGGCTGTCGCCAATCCGGGTCTTGGTGTGATAATGTCGCCTGGGAGCGGGAGCCAGGGAGATGAATGCCCCACAACAGCTGGCAGCTAGAGGCCATTGTCTAAGGACGAAGCGATGGATCTCGGTCCACAGAGTGTCCCGGTCTCGGTCCTTCTTCTTGGCTCTTCTCAGATCCTTTTGCGGTGACGGCGAGGAATGCGTAGTGCTCGCGGTTGTTAGGGAAGCTCTGGAGTCTTTGCTCTGACTGCTCCGTGCGCTCTCGAGACGCGAGCACGCCCCCAGGTTCAAACCTCACTCAGCATTCTTTCAGCGAACCACTCGGACACGATGACAAATGCAGATGGACGCAGCCAAGAGGCGTGGAACGAAGACCCTTGAGCCTGAGGGCAAGGATGATGCAACACTCCGGCAGAACTGAGCTTGGCAATCGACAAGTCAGCATAAGCAATAGAGAAGGGAGGAAAGAGCTCGTGTCACCGAGATGGCCTCCACTGCCTGGCGAGGATATGGAACACTCCGAGCTCCTGTGCGAGATCGATTCCTGAGACCAGCGGCCGGTGTCCTGTGAAAGGCGGCACTGAGGGAAAACATGAAAAAGGACAGCTGCTTGATACTCTCGCGAAAACTGTTGGTCCATGACAGGGGCGGGCTGCGGTGGCTGCGGGGGCTGCGAAGGCTGCGGAGAGCGTATAAACTCCACCCATCCTCAGTCTTCTTGCTTCGAAAACCGCCGCGGCAACAGCTCTGGACTCGGCAAGACTCTGTCCATTTCCGCTTCATCGCGAGCCCTGAGCGAGAGATTGGATAAAGCTTCTCCCCCGCTTCTGTGCTGAATGTAACCTGAAGGCAACGTTCGGCATCTCCAGTGCTACCTACCACAAGCTCGGCTAAAGAAAAAGGACGAAGCACACGGAGCTTGCGAATGCAGCTTCTGCAGGCAGAGAGACCCACCCTGAAGCTGTGAGCGCGCGGGTTTCGATTGAATACCTGCGCGTTCAAAGCCAGGCACGACTGCTCAGTTTGCGAATCGGCACTTGTACAAGACTTGCATGAAATTTGTATCGGTGCAGGCCTCTGTGCTACCCAGCTCAACACTGCCACAGACATCTCCAGCCAGCATCTCTTCCGGACTGCGGAACCATAACAGCCAGCGAGACCCAGCCCGCAAAGACGCAGAGCAGCGGCTACCATCTGACATCCTTGAAGCTCCACGGCTTGTGGTCGAGGGTATGGTCAAGATGACCACCCAGCGACACTTCCAAGTGAAGGCACTGCACACCTCCAGCCAACCAGCACCTGCACGCATCGAAGCCGCCTGGAGCGCATTCTGCCAGAGGAAGGATGCTTGCAGATCCGGCGCTTGGAACCTGTAACTCAGCTTGGTCGTACAGCCAGGCTTTGCTAGGCAAGTGATCTCAAAGCCAGTTGGTGACTGCGTCGGGCTGATCTCGGCCCCGATGAGTGGCAAGCACCGCACTGTCTCAGGGTTCGCCATGCTCTCGCTGTAGCACATGACGCCGAGCTCGGACACTGTGACGAAGACCTTGCGGCTTCGGGTCCCGCCGGTCCCGCCGTCCTGCATCATGAGCCAGGTTGAGCTCGGGCATTGCTGCGCCGCTCCTGGAGCAACGCTTCAGGGAAGAGCTGCACTGCAGAGCGCTGCAGCGACTCCGAGCACTACCCCTACCCGGCTCCTCTCGCCATGTCCGAGAGCTCTGCAGGCCCGAGCTGGCCCACGGCCTGGCGCAGCCAGGCAGCCGCTCCTCAGACGCAGAGGGACAACATAACCGAAGGGAAGAGAGATGGGTGGGGAAGACGAAATGTTATGAGTTCGCTTCTTTTTCTTCGGGCTCTTCTCTGGATGCTGGGAGGAGCACTGGCACCGCATCGAGGCGTCTGCTGGGGGATGAGGTCCACTCCTCGGGTCTTCGAATGATGGGAACACGGCTGCTAGTCTGCTGGTAGAAACTTGAAAAAGCTGGTGGGCTGAGGGCCGGACGGGGTGTCATCTCTTCGCACTCGGAGACCTCGCTGAGCTCGGTCAAACGACGAGCCACTGGTGGGGTGGGAACAGGCGGAGGAGCTGGAGCTGGAGCGGGCTCCTGCGCAGCACAAAGGCACAGCGGACACAGCGCAAAACAGCACAAAGCAGCACAGCCCAGCCCAGCCCAGTTGACGGCCTCCACATCGGCGGTGCCGCCGTAGACCGTGGCATTGGCTCGTTGCTCTTCTCGCAGCTTCCGGATGTCTTCAGTCAGCTGCTCGATCGAAGTTGAAACGTATTTCAGGCAAATGCCTGCTGCCTCCGACACTCTGTGCAGCTCAGCCTGCAAGGTGCGGATCGACTTGGCATGGAAACCACTGGACTCATCAGATTCGTCGGCCAGAAGCCTCATGGCAACGTAGTGCAGCGCTGTAAACTTTGGAAATGGGGCGCTGCGATCAGCTCGAAACTCATTCAAGTGAAGGAGATTGGCGATGTCAAAGGCACGTGCTTCTGCACGCTCCACTTGGCCAAAGTTCACATAATTGTACATCACGAGAACGGTGGCTAGGACGTGCTTAAGGCTGCTTGACTCACGCATCTGGGTGCACGCCTCTCTCACGGCCTGCATCTGTGCCATAAGCCGAAGCTCTTGAGGCTGCAGGTTTGCAGCCAAAATCAAGGCTTTCAACCGCTGTTGGAGGCGTCCAAGCTGGCTGAACGGCACCATTTGCTGCTCCACGTCCCGCAAAGGGGAGGGGCACGGTCCCTTTGCCTCCCTGTCCAGTTGCGACATCAAGGACGGCTCGGGCATCATCTGGGCCAACCGCTCGAGCTGGTCCTGGTCCAAAGGCCCGGGCTCTAAGAGTTTCACAGCTTCGACGAGCTCTGGGCCCCGCAATGCCAGGCCACGCAAGACGATTTGGCAGTTCCGGGCCACGGCATCCGGGAAGATTTTGCGCGGGGTGGCGCTTGGCACTAGGGACACCGGGCCCGAACTCGCAGCACTACCAGGAGAGGCCTTCGTCTCTGAGAATAAGGAGCGCAAAGTGTCGATGTCCTCCTGCGCTTGTCCTGCTCTTTTGGCAAAGAGTCCTTGGAAGATGCTGGGCTGTTCGCCTCGAGCCGTCTGTGGAAGCGCTCCGGAGTCTCGCATGTTCAGTCGCTTTCCGAAGGGCAGCGATTTTGCTGAGGCCTTCGGCTGAGCCTTTGCCTTGGGGCCCTTGCCCTTGCCCTTTCCGAGAGGAAGTGGAGGCACCGAAGGACCTTTCCCAGGGCCTTTAGCAGCTCCTTTGCCTTTGCTTGGAACCGGAACCGGAGGGCCCTTGCCAGAGCCTTTTCCACTTGAGGACGATGCGGTCCCTGTCCCCTTGCCACCGGCTTGGGCTCGGGACTCTGAAGCTGCGTCCTGTGCTTCTCCCCCGGCTGCACTTCGCTGGATGGACCCCGCCGGGAGCAACGGAGCTTGGACCTGCGTGCTGCTCGCCAATATTCGCATCCACGTATGTTTGCTGCTCTCGTCGAGGGCCTGCATGGCCACCAGGCGCGTGCCTTGCGGACTGAGGTGCTCCATGACAAAGCAATGCGGACGCCCGTACATGCCATCCGGTGCCTCCCAAATCTTGCCTATTGCAGCGAATTCAAACCGCTCACTCACATCCGCATAGTTGTATGCATGTGGGGAGCAAAGCACTGCGTTCTCCTGTCCACCCCAAATAGAAACCCATCGAGATCTCCAAATGCGCAAATGTTTGCTGCATTTCCGAAGCCAACTTTCGTGGATGAGGTTTCTCTTTGGGCCGCTGGAAGTCGCTGGAGACTCCATCATGCCATCATCCCTCACCCACTTTGCAGTGCTTCTTCAGAGCTTCTTCAGTCGCTGCGAGTTCCCTTAGAGTTCTCTTGCTTGCACGGTATGTCAGGATTGCGGTCGCTCTCATCATAAACTGTGGGCAGGAGCCCTAGTTGCTTCTGTGAGCCTACATGCTTCTCCATGTGGCTCACGGCCGCTGAGAAAACCTTTATAGAGCCCAGCGGCCACAGGTGACCAGGCTCTTACCTGAACCGGCTGAAACTCGCAATGCCTTCAAAGCGCGATGGCGAGGCAAAGCAAATCAGCAAAACGCACGCATGTAACCTCGAAATGTTTCTCGCAAGCAAGAGCGCATCTAAGCAGGTCATCTTCGAAAGAGCAAAGGGGAGCAGCAACTGGCGTAAGCTGCCTGCTCAGCACGCAGCTTTGACAACCGATTCAATAAATAATAACTGCAATACGCAGCAGAACGTCCATCAAACTCACCTGTGTGCATGAAAATTCTCTTGGCTTTCTGATGATCAGGGACGGCTGAAGCAGCTCGCGCTCTGCCGGAAAATGCCTTTCAAAGGGAACGATCCCTCCTTCCAAGCCTTTGAGGACCCAAGAATCGCTAAAGACGTTGTGAAACATTTAGCAAACACGGTGATACCTGGGTCCTCGTCGAGGTGCCGGCCGCAGCTTCCTTGGCTCCGCGCCGCTTCCCGCGAAGCCGCGCCGGCGCTGAAGCCGAGAAAGCTGAGCTTCCGCTTGCTGAGCGGGGCACCCCACGGCCTGACGCTGCCTTGCTGCCTCTGTCTTTATATAACGACACGACTCGGACCTACTCTGTTGTGTGCACGCGTAGCTACGCACACATGTAATTGTGCGCGTGTGCGCATGTGCGTGCGCACGCTTTTCTTACCCGTCTTACATCCGTCTTACCCATGTATTGCTATTCAACCTCATCATTTTCAATTCATCTGCCTTTATCTACGAACTGTCCGTGTTGCGATCTCTTCGTCATATTTGCGGGACATGTGGCTGTTCGCATATTTTGTCTCTGGGCGGCTCGGAAGCTGCACCCGTTACCAGTTGTACGCGAAGCTCAGTGGGCTAAGCTCAGTGGGCTCTTCGGACACCTGCAGCAAAGAGCAGCTGCAAGCCATGCATAACGGTGCATCACAGGCCGTCTGAAACAGCGCGATGCATGCCTCAACGCCGCGCGAAGTGTGCTGCTAGTAGCACTTGGTGATGATGCCAGAGCCTCGGGGATCGACAGTAGATCAGCATAGCTGACAAGGATGACAAGGTCATGTGGCAAAGAACCCACGGCGCCCTGACGTCCTCGCTGGGATGCCAGCCTACCGTAAGACCACCTTCTCGGAGAGCGAAGCGCAGCCTTGCGGAAGGGAAACGTGACATGTCCTTTGACCGGCGACTGGGGCCCTCCGGGGTCAGCACCCTTCCTCCAAAGCCATGGGCTTCTCGGCAGCCAGGCCTTTCTCTATTCACAGCTTCCTGTCACTGTGGCGCCTCGCCTCTGCAGGTGCTCAGGCGCCGGCTGATGGAGAGGGAATCCCCCGGCATGGCCATTTCCACCTGGCGCATCGCGACAGGCGACATTGAAGTCATGCAGCATCAGAAAAGCTCTTCCAGTTAAGTTTGGCAAAGCCGGCGCTTTCGGGAAGCTGCACTTCCACAGTCACCATGCCCGTTCGGATGAATGCCTGGCATGTTTCTCTGTTCCATGACTGCAACACTTAAGCGATCGCCAGCATGATTCACAGCGATCTCATGTCACACGGCCTGTGGTCTATAGCTGGAGAAGAAGGGCTTCTTGCGTCCGCCTTCGTCCTCCTTCAGCACCTGCAGTCGGTGTCTCAGGGATCTCTCCAAGTAGTACTTTTTCTCGTCCCTGTCAAGATATCAGGTTGCTCCATCTGTAGGTCTCCCACGTAGATGTCCGCATCAAACTTAGAGAACCTGAAGGACGGTGTTACTTCGCACAACATACGTGGCTCCAACAACATCCACACCCCTGCGACGAGGTCGAAGCGTTTTCACAGTCCCGGCAGCGCACAGAACCTGACCGGCGAGCACAAGCACCGGAGCACGTAGCAAGCGCAAAGGCTGCAAGAGGTCACTTGCCTGCCCTCGCAAGATCTCGCTCCTCTTGATACCCTTCAGCATAATTCCACACCTGAAGGCAACACTTCCGTTTCGTCTGCAATCGTCTGCAAGGCAACATCCATCACAACTCTGTCGGTGGACGGACTGAGCACCAGGCTGATCGCCAGACTGGCCCTCATCCAATGTTTTGTGGAACATCTCTATGCCAGAGATGGTGGCCTTCGCGGTCTTATCCTGTGCGAATCCACTTGGACAGCTGGACGAGAAATTGAGAAGTCTCAAAGCACGAATCTGCGACGCTGTTCCTTGACCCCGACAATCTCGATCGTGTCACCCGTCTTGGCAATGCCACGCTCGATTTTGCCCGTGGCAACTGTGCCCTTCCCCGTGATGCTCATCACCTCGGCCGACACCAACCCTCCTTCTTTTTGTGCACGTTTTCAGCTGTGAGAATTCAGTCAGGCTGCAGTCTCCACACCCATGAGGAAGGGCTTGTCCACGTCCCTCTCAAGTTAAGTTGTCGTGGTAGGATGTGGCAGGGAGACTCGGCTTACCCGTGGCTGCAGATGCCACGAACAATAGAGCTCGTGCCTTTGTGGATCTGGGAAGAACGAATCGACAGCTTCCATTAGCCTGGGTTGTCTCCAAGTGCATAATGTTGACACGAGTGCAAGTGGTCCCAAGCGCATGACTGTTTGATGGCTGGGACACCATATTCACCAGTGTCGCCGTTCAATGCTTTCAGTGCCGAACCCCGGACGAAAGGCCTCGAAATCGGGTCGAGCATGCAACTGGCCAAGTCAGCCCTGACAGCCAAGTCGAGCACGTATCGTCACCAGGGAACGAGTACATATCCAGCATTTCTCGCACCTGCTGGCAGGCTGACATCTAGATTAATTATCTGCGCATTGCGCATGAAGCGGCGCTCAGTCACACAGCCCGCCCGACGTTGTTTACCTGCGCACACCACCTGCAAATCTGGGCGCCCTGGCATGCCTTAAAATCGACACACGACGGCACCAGGTGCATCCGGAGAAACACTGTGCAGGGACCCGAGTCGTCTTGACTTGCAGTAGCGCATCCGGCAGCAACCGGTTCTGGCAAAATTGTGAGATGAGATCTTTGTACAGGGCGGAGCACGGGTTGTGGCCGACTTGGGCCTGGGCCTTCTGGAGGCTTTATGGCTGTACAAGTTCCCTCGCAACTCCCGTGTCGAAAGCACAGCAGTTGCGGGTCTTTGCCGAAGGCTGCCGTCTTGGCAGGCCGAGAGGTTTTGTGAAGTCAGCAACACATTTCGAAGCCTTGGTCAGGGCAACATCAAAACTCAACTCGGCGCACTCGGCGCGCTGTAGCTGAAAGTAAGTTGCTTGCTGTGTCCACGATGGAAGGCCTCAGCGGCGACACCTGTCTATCCGTCCACAAAACTTTGTCCTGATCAGCTTGGAGCACGACCGACTGCATTGCTGTGCGCTGGCATACACGTGCATCTAATGCTGCAAACCCCCCCTTTGTCCTCCTGGCGGGAGACGCCAGATCAGGAAAGCATCGAATTCGATTCTGTACAGTCGCTCAGGCAACAGGAACAGCCTGCAGGGAAGGCATCACAAGGCATCGAAGGTTGCCGCCCAAACTTACGGCAATGACAAATGGAAGCCCTGTCCTCCCATTGACTCCTCCTGTTGGCATGGAGCAGTACGGCATCCGTCAACGGATCCGCATGCAGCCACAGCCCACTTGACAAGTGCCTTGGCCGCAGAAGCTTCGCAAGGACGGCCTCTCGAGGGCCAGGAAGCAGTCGGACCAGCTGCGATGGGCTAAGCCAAGCTGCCTTAGTGTGGCATCCGGATGCCACTTGAAGGTGCTGTGAGCTTGGAAGCCTTCGGCTTCGCATGGAAGAGGATGCTCAGAGCCTGCGTAAACGAAGTAAAACAGCAGCAGCCGGTGCGTCAACGACCACGGCCGGGCCTGCTCCCAGCGAGGCGTACCAGCTCTGAAACGCGTTGTCGTAGCCAAGGAAGCAGCCAAATGCCGGCAACCCTTCGTGTGCGAAACCCAGCCATGCTTCCTGTCGAATCTTTGGTGCTTCAGATAAGGCAGGCAACCCTGTCTGATCTGTCTTTTCTACGACTTGCCTGGTATTCTGCCATGTCTGCATGGACCACGAACAGAGATGCAGGCTTCTCTGTCCTGAGTGGCACGATGCATGCTTTCACAAGTCTGTAGTTCCGTGATCGTCGCTTCAATGCGATTGCACGGATTGCTCACTGTAAGCAACGGGCATGGTGCACTGTATTGCACTGCCGTGGTGGCCAATAACTGACAAATACCTCGGCACAGGAAGCAGAAAGCACAACGTCATTCACTACGGTGCAAAAGCTGCTGACAGGCCGCCGAGAAGTCATCCGGTCTCTGAGAAAGATTCTGTCCTCGTGCCTGCTGCTGTGACGAGTATAACTATGGCGGCGTCTCGTCGCAAAACAGCATGCAACATCAGTTCAAAAGCTGCGCCCATGGGTGCCAACGCAGCCGCCGCGCGCCTTGGAGCACTCTCTTCGCTAATCGTCAACAAAGGCGGCTGCCTCAGTTCAGTCAAAGCTTCCGCATCTCGGAAGTCGCAGCAGCATCGAAGACGGAATCAGTGGTCCGAGACCGGTCTTGTTCAGACGCCCTGCTCGCCCCGCAGCCCCCAATTGCAAGGCTTCGCTCGGCACTTTCTCAGCTGCGCCACTGCGCGTTTATTGCACTGCATCCTACCCTTGGCATGCAGCCTTGGTAGCTCGACTTGGAAGTTCCGGGAACTCGTGATGTGCTAGACATGTCGGCACGTAGATGTACAAAACCTGTGGGTTTTTGCACGAATCGAGTGCTAGTAGTAGCAAGGATCAAGGCAGTGATCTTGTTTCAGCATTCGTTGCAGGTCGAGCGGTACCGGCAGAGCGCCGATCCGAAGTCGAAGCCCAGGCACACGACCGTCTGGGCCTGCCACTTCCACCACTCGCGGGTGTCATCACCTTGGCATGGCAACGCATGGCAAAGATGCCGCTGCAGGGCATCGTGCAGTACGCGCTTCATGACAGGAGCCGCGACTGCTCTAGGATAGGGCAGCCGTGTGTGCAACTCTGTCGTAATAACATGCTGGCGAGAAACATTTTGGCAAAGTGCCGCTGTCCTGCGGCATGTGTGATAGTAGGTCTGCAGACGGTCACGCAGTTGCGGCTTCGGAAGGCTGTAACCGACAAGCGCAAAAGGCCTTCTCTGCTGCCCGATCTCATCTCAGCCTAGCCTACAGCATCTTTTGAGGTGAGGATTCTTCAAAGTTTGAGATGTGTCGCTAGCAAGAACAGCAACAACCCTACCCCAAACCGGCATACGCATGTAACGATCAGGAGGAGAGCCTCCTCCTCTCTTCGATTCACCATCAACATCTCAGTCCAATCTCCAATCAAGTGACGACAGCCTAGAGTGTAAATTCATCTCCACCCTCCAGAAGGGAATATGCTTCAATCGGATTCGAAGTACCCACTTAGCACTCTCGTAGGCCAACCTTGACATGACACCAGATCTGATTGCCTCATCCACAAGCCACTTGGCAGTCGGCTCCTTCCGCCGGGAACGCGCTGGCTTCCGGCGGCCCCGACGGGGCCTTGCCTTGGTCAAGTTTCGACTTCTTGGCGAACTTCTCATGCACTGTTTCTGGAGTGTCGAATGGTAATGAATGGTAGCCGTTCGCGCACAGTTCAATCGGAAATTAGCGTAGGCCCAGCTACAGGGTGATCTGATCTGGGATTGCTACACCGAGCCGCTAACAGCATGCTGTATCCGCAGCTTGTATTAATTCCGGTGCAATCACCAAATGAATGCCTCCTGCACAATTAATCTTGCTGCACCTCTACCTTCGCAGATTGAGATTCAAGAGTGTGGGGGGTGTAGTCTTCGTTCTGGTTGTCTGTGCAGCGCCCTTCAAGCTTTCTGACAGTTTTTGCACTCCCTGAGGGTTGCAAGCATTGGCATGTCATCTTCAGTCTTCACCCCGGGCTACTCTCTCCAGAGTCGCTGTAAGCAAGCTGCACAAAAGTTGCTCAACATCCGCGGAGTCCAAGGCTGAGTTCTGCTGCGCTCGAGCCAAGACCATGACTGGGCAAGGCCAGAAGGCTGATTCTGAACATGGGCCATTTGTGCACGGGATCACCTCCAGTTCCACAAGATCGACAAGTTCCATGTCTTCGACCATGTCCTGTCACATACAGACGCCAGGACTGGTTACCGATTTCAGCTGTTGTGAAGTCTTCGAAGTGATGCGAATCTTGCTGCAGCGACATCTGTCCCAGACAAACAACTGCAGGCCCTGCGTTATTTGACAAACATGCCCGGCTGAGCCATCTTGTTCAAGAACACCACGATGCTGGGCCTTGAGCGCGAGTGCAATCCGAAGGGTCAGGCAGTTCGTGCGGGCTTCTGTTCTGACAGCGTCATGGCTGGATTTTCATCCAATGCCGCGTCTCATCGCTCTCTCTGATGAGCAGTCATGGCTGATCAGCTGGTCACGACTGCCAATTCCTACTTCGGCAGGAACGACGGCTTTCCATCTTCCACCCTACGCATTTCATGCAGGTTCATTAGTCCGTTGCAGTGGCCAAGTCAAGTCAGGCGTGTAAGTGCCCTAACTTCCGGTACACCTTTGGTGCCGGCCTGCCACAAGCAAATCATTAATCTTCGTGACCCTTGAAGGATTAGCTTCAGCTCTGCCACACATCCGAGCACACAGGTTCCATGAAGTACGGCTGCTTCAATCGCACAATTCTGACAGGATTTGCTCGTTTCGGGCTGAGTGAAGCGTCTGGGGGGGGAGTACGAACATACAGGCAGACACCAGCTGGATGCCTGTCACGGACCTTCGTGAAAGAAGGCAGACCTAATCTGTCCTAATTTCCTCGGCTCAACAAAGAGGCACAGTAACGAAGATATTCTGCCATCGGCGCATCGCTGGAAAAGCTGCGCTGTTCCTCAGTCTGACCACATCTCACGACAGGTAATGCACCAGGATGCAAAGTGCGATCAAGCCTCACTAAGATGTGCAGTAAGTCGCAAGTGAATTTGAGAAATTTCAGCTTCACCTGGGCGAGTCGCACGAGCGACTGCAAGAGTCTACCGTTCTAGATTCAAGGGGGAACGAGAGTCGCTGATATGCTTGGATGAGCAGTGCTTCACCGCGATAGTGAGTTTTCCAGAACGACTCTAGCTGACTCGGCGGTCAAACTCCAACGCAACTGAGGCTCGGATCTGGCTGCGGAGCTGGTTGTTTGGAATCAGCTTTCCTGGAGGCAACATAGCGGCCGAACCACCAACTAAAGCGCAGCGAAACACCCACACTCTTCAATACGATCCTGATGATCGTTGTGCAGTGGCGGACATTACTACTAGCATTTGTTTGTTCCTCGTCCGCTGTCAGCTTGGTAGTGCCCGACAATGCTGGTAGCTCGACTATTGTAGCAAGCAAGCACGTCTGATATTGCCTCTGTCATGATGACGACTCAGTGCGACGCTACTGCGATAGCAGCAACAACGGGCACAAAATCTGCAAACGACATGCTCTGACTGGCTCTTCAGTTCGGACTGGCTTCGATCCGCCGGTCTTCTGAGCTCGGTGTTGTTGAGCGGGTCTCTGTAGAAGTGCTGGAAGTGCCGTTCGATCGACTTGCGATCGTAAGTGTTGCCACTTCCCGTGACAATGACGGGATCCTGCATGATCTGCATGGAGATCGGGCACAGGAACTGCCTCACAGACTCTGCTTCTTTCATGAGTTTCTGGGTTCACATGCTCTTAGCTCAAGCTTCTCAAAAGAAGAGTCTGGGTCGCAGGCTGACAGAGAGCTCTGGAGGACGTGGGATGCTGGGCTTGCAGGTCACCCACAAACTGCCTCTCGTCCATGTCCTCTCACTCCGTCTCTGATAGGTTATACCAATGTAGACCATCGTAAGAAAAGCGGGGGGTCCCCTCCCCTGGCTTCAAAAACCAAACGGCAACGAAGACGGCAAGACAGCACGGGAAAAGAGAGGTGGGGTACGGCTCCGGTCCTTGGAGTCGCTAGCTCCCCGGCGGCGCTTCTCGGGTGGAGAGCCCGGGCTGCTCCCGAAGGACTTCCTCTTCACTTTCGACAGCATCGCTGCGACCTCGAAGTCCAAGAAAGACCCTACCAGTAGGCCCTAGGCTCCCTCTTTTGGACTGTCGTGACTTTAGAAGAAGCCTTGCTTAGAGTGTGACTCGACAACGTTTCGACCTCTAGGTCGAGACGGCTGCGGCCAGGGCACTCCGCCGAAGGAGGACTGCGAGACACTCCGTTGCAGGCCGTCCCGAGAGCTCTTTGGATCGGAGGAGGGCGTCCAGGAGCAGTGGGCGAATTCGCTTGGGGCAAAATCAGGGAGGCTGCTTTGCCGTAGACTTCGTATCAGAATCTTTGAAAGCTCTGAAAGCCGAGTGGTGCTTGGCACCCTGAGTTGCCTAAGGCCCTTCTCTTCCTCACCATGGCAGACCTGAACTTCAAGAGATACCACCTTCTTGGGTACAAAGACCAGGTGGCAGCCACCGTCAGCCATTCCCAACCTGGAGAGACGCGCCGTCTCAGGCACAGGCGAGAATCCTCCCAACAGCGTCTCCAGCGATGCGAGACTGCGGCACCCCGCTCCCTCTCGCTCCCAGGTGGAGCACTCCACCGCGAAGGCTAAGCTGCCCTCCAGAAGGGCCGTCGCCTCTGCTTCCACGGCGCGGGCCACCAGTTTCCGGCGGACGTCCGAAATGGAATCGCAGCTCCGCACTTCCAAAGTACCTGAAACCATGCTAGATTCTAGATCTTGTTGCAAAGACACCCAAAAGAAGCCATCTACACGACCCAACCCACACTGATCACTATCCGAGGCCATGCGCCTGGAAAGCCCTCCAGGGTTCCTGGGAGGCTCGAGTCTAGGACGGACACGGATAAATGCAAGGGCCAGTTCATGTAAGCACAGAGGATGACTCCGTCAGCAATGAGCGCCTGGGATAAATCAGCACTGCGTTCGACCAGCTGACTTCCAGCAAAGATTGCAAGCTTGCTTTGGTCCACTACCCCCAGCTTTTCTGCTGCCGTCTCGTAAAGCAGGCTTGCAGGACCCATGGACGGGATATCTAACGGCATGTCGAAGTCGGCCAGAGCATCGGGTTGATGCACATGCACGCTGCAGCCATCCTCGAAGCCAAGCTCCTCTAAAGTGCTGGACTCCAACGCGAAGGACAAGTCCTTGTCGTCATCCAAAACCAACTTCATTCGTGCAGGAGAGATCCCTGAAACGCTCTGCACAGACCATCGCAGATCACTGAGAGTGGATTTGAGATCGAAGGGCATAGGCCTTTCATGGCTGCCCTTCACAGACGCCGGCAGAATAAGGCTAAGTGTGTGCGCCCCATTTTGCTCGCGGTGTCCTTGCCCCTCGCGCCTGAGGAAGGCCAGGGCTCCCTTGGCGCTCAGATGAAGCTGCAGGGGAGTCTGGGACGTCTCTGCGGCGGCGGCGACGCGGCCCATGGGAAGCTCATCGTGTAAGCGCTTACAGCCCAGTAACAGCACCGTCTGATCTACGGGGAACTTCGTCCTTTTGGAGATCAGCTCTTTCAGAGTCGTCACCGTGCCGCTGGCCGCAAGCTCAAACTGCTCTATCACGATCGGCAGAGGCTGGCTCGCGCTACTGTTCGCGACAGCCTTTGAGGTGGCCGTGCCAGGGCAGGCCACGCGCACCTGCACGAAATCCTCGTTGGTGACATTGTCAAAAGCAGCGCGCAGCTGGAAAACACCGTGATCTTCCCGACAATTCTGCTCCAAAAACGCAACCAGACCTCAAGCTTCAGCTTATAACACAGGGGACAACAGTCGAGCCTTCGAAGGACGGAAAGAAGGCTTACAAAGCTTTACAGAGCGTGAAGACTGCAGAGTAGCGGTACCAGTAGTAGTGGTCCCCGGCGCAGTAGCGCGAGTTTTCTATAGGTATGCACGCGTGCGTGTATGCATAGTATGTCCGCATGTATGTGTGGACCCACTAGGGTTCCATCGGTTCTCTTCCGCTAAACCTTTGCCGGCAGACTTTGCCCCGAGACAGGCTTCAGCGTGCTCTGTGGGCTGCCAGGCTTCCGCTGCAAGCAGAGCAAGCTGAGGCTGCCAGCCGAGATGCCTTCAAAGAGGACAGTTCTGAAAGCAATCCTGCTTCAAGGTTGTCATATACCTGACACTTCCCCTCAAGTAATCAAGCAATCAAAGATAGCTCCAGCTCTTGTGCACGCAGTCAGTTCCGTTTCCTCCTGTACTTTATCGTGGGTCGTGGCTAGAAGGTACAAGTAGTTGTGCTTGTGGCGGTCTGGATTTCTTGAGATACAGGACTGCTTGTCCTTGTCTGGGCTGCAGGAAGCTTCATGGCGAGACTATCAGAATGGGCGTGTGGGTCCGGCCGCTGTGCGTCACATCACACAAACCGTCTGCAGCCGGTCATCCCACTTCTCCAACTCAGTAATGCTGTAATCCTGCGAACACCCTATCAGTAGCCACGAGGAAACCCATTCAAAGTGCTGTGGCATGCTGGCCTGTGGCTTCAGCCATGGCCCGACGAACGTCGGCGACCTCCTCTGGACCATCTTTGCCCTCCCAGCGGAGCTGGGTGCTCCAGACCTCCAAAGAAAGACTTTCTAGAGACTTGCCGCTCGTCAGACCCGACCAAGCTTTAGCCGTACCCTTGTCTTAAGCCCCCAGGGTCAGACAAGCCTTCTCCAGTCCACACCTGCTGTAGTGCACTGCAAGCGATGCAAAGGGCACTGCCATGCGGCACACTGCCGATCACAACAGGGTGATCCTACTCCTACAAAAAACAAGAACTCAAGCTACTTGGGCCCAAAACGCAAGGCAGCAGGCACGTCCGCATGCGGATGCAGATGTCTTTCGTCTGGCAAAAATCTGGGGCCGCAGCACTCCAACCTGCTTGGAGAGCAAGATGTGCTCTCGGGTCTGTGGCATTGGTCCGTCATAACCTCGCACAATTCCGCGGAAGCGGAACAAACACGGCAGCCAGAGAAGCTCCGAGCTCCGTCGCCTGAGACCACCAGGATGGCTCCATCCATCTGGGCAGCCTCGGCAGTGGCCGTGTTGGCAGTCGGCCCCCCCAGCTTTCAAGCACAGCTTTCCAGCGCGGTTGAGGTGCGCCAGTGATCATGTTCTTGACATAATCAGCGTGACCAGGACCTCGATGAGCACGGTGCTGCTGGAGCGCTGCTTGGCTTGGTTGCTCTATGTGCGAGAGCCCGACAGTCTACATGGCCATAGTGTCTCTTGTCAGTCTCGTACTCTACGTGAGCCTGGTTGATGGTGATACCACCTGGAGGTCAAGCCAAGCAACAGAAATGGGCAGAGAGATATTCGTGGCATCAAGCGGTCGATCGACCCATCAAAAGTAAGACTCGAGCGCTTTTTCTCCTCAGGAGCCTGTCGCGGAGTCTATTCAGCAGGAGGCCAACGGGAGAGCATATGGAGAAAGACTGCAAAGGTAGCCTTGTCAATAGCATCATAGGCTTTGAACTCAGCTCGCCCTTCATCTGCCATAACCTGCGCCAAGAAGCCAATGTGCTCGCATACTATGCTTTCGTGGTGGAAGAGTTCTGGCCTTTGTGATGGCTGCGGTCAAAGTGGTCTTTCCTTAGCACGAGGGTCCAGTCGCCTGTTGAGCTTGAGAATCATGGAACCAACACGGGACGAAGCCCGTGTTGATGTCCGAACGGCCAAGCAATGCGTTGTTGCAGATGCCCAGTTTTTGGTTGCTAACCTTGTCCGGACAGCCTCTGCAAAATGTCACCGCACGCCAAGACTCCGTGGTCGACGTGGCCGATGGTGCCGACGTTCATGTGTGGTTTGTTTCGTTGGAAGACCTACCATGGGCACGGAATCATTTCATGAGCCTCAGCTTCGGGCATAGCTCTCCTACGGTCACTTCGGCTTTCAATGTTCAAGCTTGCCGGGCTCGCTCCCACGGCAAAGCTGCGCGTCGCACCTATCCGATCGCAGCAGTCCGGCATGACTAGAAAAACTGCTGCTGACAAGGGATACAGTATCAAGCATGAGTGATTTACGCACACGTCAGCTTGGCGTCCAGAAGCTGGGCAGCTTGCATAAGAAGGCTCACTCAATTCATGAACCCCCAAACAGGATCCCATTGCCAGCCTTTCGAGCCGCGGGCGCCAAGCGCACGTGCGGCACGGACTGCGAAGGCCTCGGAAGATCTGAGAAGGACTTCGCAGACTCAGACTTCAGATCTCTCGGCTACGGCTACAAGTAACAAGGATGCAGCCATTGTGTACGTCTGCCAACAGCGAAAATTGCAGCCTGACAAAGCATGTGTTGTCTTGGACCCACCGGAAAGGGCAATAGAGTTCACCGAGCCATGCCTGCCGCAAGGCCAAAACTTTTTGTGGGTTGGGTTGTGTTGTTCAGCGGGTTGTGGCTTGAACCGAATGCGGGATGTGGAGGCGAACCACTGCACAGTCGTCAGAACAGAAGGCTCGGTCATGAGTTTATGGAGCTTTCCTGTTTTGATCTGCTTTGCAGACTCCGTCTCGCGGTGAGACAAAGTGAGACCATCTCCGGCTCGGAGACAACTTATCTTTTCAGCTTGTTGCCGACAGAAAGCCTCTACATCGCAAGCCGCTCACCGTTGTAGTCGAAAGTGTAGTTGAACCTCGACACAAGGCGACCCAAAGTGACCTTCCGAACTTGTGCCGATCCTCGCTTCTCGACGCGTGTGACTGAGAAGCCAGCTTGGGGCGCCCAAGAATTGGTGGCATGGGGTTGTGAATATCCATGGATGCCTTCCGCTGACAGTGCAACGTGGGCGAGAAGAATCTGGTGCATAACTTTTAACTATGCCAGGGTGCGTTCTCACGCGGCAAGCGTGGATTTGGCCTCGTGCTTTGGCTCTCTCGAGATGGCATGCTGCGGCAGCAGATACCACCAACACACTCACACAGACACAGACACGCGCGAAGTATTAGGGCAGGCACAGCATGATCACGTTCTTGCCATCCATTGTTTGTCGCAGCCTCAGCGATTCCAGTAGGCGACACGTCTGGCGCAGACGTTTTGAGCTCCGGGCTCAGCTTTGGGAAGCTTCATCCCCGTCGAGGCAAGTTGGCCGAGTCGCGTCTTCCTGCCTCCGCCGCCTCCGCCTCCGCCTCCATTCCGTCCCTCCTCCGAGCCCTTTAAGGCTCTCTTTTCGTGCGGTCGCGCCTCTGACGGACTAGCTGCCTGCGGGCGCTGCATCAGCTCCGCGTACTTCTGTGACATGTAGCGACGTGCATGGGGGTCCTGCACGGGCGTGGAATCCACGACATCTCCTTCCCTCCCCCGCCCTCTGGCTGCTCTGGCTGCTCTGGCTCTCCTCCTTGAGAACTTGCAGGTTGGCCTCCGAGAAGCTGTGGCCGATGCGGCCGAGCTGCTGGGCCCTTGAAGCCAAGGCCAAGACGAGAAGACGAGAGCGCGGAAGGCATACGTGTCAGAGACCCAGCTAACATCTCTGAGGCAACTGCACTCTGCGTGAATGATCCGGACCCACGCACTGCGCCTGCCAGGTATGCCAGGTTTTACTGAAACGGCAGAGTATATGGCGTTGACAATCCAGAATCCAGAACAGATGCCTGAAAGTTCTTCTTCGCCAGTGGGTTGTCATCATAGAAGGTGAAGGGAGCCGTGGTCAGGAGCTGGCATACGCCACACGCAGAAACTTCTTCCCATGCGGCGCGTCACGGTCGCTGAAGTTTTACTCAAGCCTTGGATCGATTGTTCCCACGCAGCCACCATTCCTGGCGAGGGGCGCAACAGCAACGTAGTCGTAGTCGCCTTCAAGGGGTTGCATTTGCCTCGTCAGGAATCGGTTCCCTGTTGTATCGATCACCAACCGGAGCAGCCTCGCCGGCACAGGGAAGCTGATACCCTCTGCGCCCAGAGTGCTTGCGAGATCTTGCAAGCATATTTTGGCAAGTTCAGCCAGTTGGGGATGCATTGTTGCCGCTAGCCAGCTTAGTTACGCAATGCGAAACATGCCCTGCTCGGCCGCTTCTCCTAGTATCTCGTAATGAACAAGCATGCGATTATGTCGCCTCGCCGGTAGCGGGATGGCGCAAAGCCTGAGGAAAGCTGGGAAGATTTGCGACTACAGAAGCCCCGCGCGCCGCAAAGCCTTCCGGGTTTCAGGTTCTTTGGGCAGAGGCGCGATTGGGGTTTGGGCTTAGGTGCTTCAGCATCGAAACCCTCTGTGAGAATCTTTCTGGCTTGGAAGTTGGTCGAAGCCTGGAGCTTCGGTCGGTCTAAGGTCTCAGCTGTCGCGCTGGCTCGCGAGGTTTGGCTCTTGTCCGACAGCCACCTGTCGCGGATTTGAGCGATTCTCCTGCATCATGACATGTTCCCCCTCCCCCTTGCTGACCCCACATGCTTATCGTTCTGCAACCCGTGGACATGCAAAGGCAACCAGGAGAAAACGCATGAACTCGAAGGAACTACCAGTAGTAGCAAGACTTTAAATTCGCAAGACTTATGAGTACCGGTTTGTCGGAATCAGGCCCTGCATCTAAGTAGAAAACAAAGGGAACGGAATGCAACAAGCAGAAAACTTGAATGTGCAGTGACGAATCATCGTAGGCAAGAACTGACACCGCAAAAAGAGCAACTGTAAGCCTAAGCCCATTCCGCCAAGAACAACAATTCCCTATGCTCAGGGTCGAAACGACGGTCGAACCTTACTGTGGCAAGCGGGCACAGATTCATAATCAATCAAGCAACTGAATGTGTTCGAAAAGATGAAGGGATGATGCCAGGAAGAGCCAGCGAGCAAGCAAAGAGTGAAGCAAGCAAGCAGGCAAGCCAGGGCAAGAGAGAGAGAGAGAGAGACAGAGAGATACAGAGGGCGACAAGTACAACCTGCGAGGTGAAGAGCAAGGGCCAAAATGCACTGTATGCTGTGGCAGCAGGTTGAGCCCAGGGACCAATCTTCGACAGGAAGCCGTGTCGGGGAGACCGTGTCACATGGCCTGAGGCCACCTCGCCGACCACCATTGGAGCTCCCTGAGACTCGCCCAAAAAGAGAGAGAGAGAGAGAGAGAGAGAGACGAACGAGTCGGAGGCCGAGGGCCGGGCCGAGTCCCGCGCTTTGCGGGCGCCGCGATGCGCCGCGTCAGAGCATGGCACAAGCTTGAGCCCATGGCTCCGCTGGGCTGAAAGGCTCTAAGCCTGCATGAGACCATGCGCGCTCTTTGCAGTCCAGCGCGGCCTTGGACGTCGCTGACGTCGCTCGAGGAAGAGTCTCGTTTGACCGGTGAGGTGGGGGGGGGCACCGGGTAAGCATTTTGTCTGCATTCTTGCTGAGGTGGACTCCGGACAAGTTCCGAGATGGCCGATGTTGCAATGCACGTTCCTTCGGAGTGGGGCAGTTCTCCTCAGCGCTGGATTCTTTCGGTGTTTGGCCGTCACTGGAACCCTGCAGCATCACTGCAGCTTTGGCTTTGGGCTCCCGGTGCCGTGCTGCAAGTTTTGTACGTCCTTGAAGCCGGCCATAGCGGAGCGCAGCAACTTCTGGGAACACGTCGGGACGTCCTACAAAGCCCCCCCGCGGGACATCACCACTTTCACTTCAAAGGGAGGCAGATTCAAGGCTGATCACAACGGACGCGTGCTCACATCTGCACAGCACGGCTGCGGAGACTCTGCAGCACAGGGTTCCCGGATCGTGCTGCAATGCGCACAACTTCTTTCCGTCATCCAACGAGCGCTGGACTTGGGTGCTATCCCCTTGATCGCACGCTGTGGCAGCTGGTGCTGGTGGCTTCTTCTTTGAAATTCGCGTAGAATACAGCCAAGCTCCGGCTGTCAGGCAGTCAGCAACAGGCTCACAGCAGCTATGTGAAAGAAATCAGGCGCACAGACCTGGGGTGGCTCCCACCATAAGATCCCCTCAGCCAGGAGGCAACTCTTTCCTCAGGGGCTCCTCGAGAAGTTCCACCTGTGGCGGTTGCTCTGGCGGATGTGCGATGCCTCTATGCTGACTCTATGCCTCTATGTCCTGGCTGGAGGGGCCCGACCCAGGGCCCCGACGGCGACTGAGGCAAGGCTCAGCTTGGTGAAACTGCGCAGGACATCGGAGTACCTGCGCACAGCAGCACAGCAGAAGTCCGCACCACCGAAGCGCCCTCGAAGCGCCCTCTCCGGTCGGAGCTGAGCTCGCTGAGCTCAGGCGCCAGCGTTCGGGGAGCGGGCAGCACCCGCGCGGAACGCATGTCAACCAGAGCCTCAGCCGGTTCTGTACAGCATGGCATGAGTGAAAGAGCGGCAGCTTTTTCCACTGAGCTTTGTTAACTTGCTAAACATGTGCCTGTGCCCGCTCCCTTCGATGCACGGATTACCGCTTCGTGTTGGGAGCCAGGCTGAAACAATGAGCTGCCAGCGCCGCCCGCAGCAAGCGATCTTAGACAAACTTATCGGATCGATGGGTCGCTGCTACGAACAGACCTGAGGCCGGCAAATATGTACGGCCGTAACAACTGCGGGGTACGTGTAAGTGTCTAGCAGTACTCGCATACGTCTGGCCGTTTGCCAGTCCAAGTCCTCGCGACTCCTTCGAGGGCGTGGGATCTGCGAGCATTTCAAGGAACCGCTCTCTGGCCTCCAGCAAGAGGAGGGCCTGCTCCCATGCCCATGCGAGCGACGACGGTGCAGCTTCAAAAGCAGCCTCGCTCCACGAACGGCACGAAGACTCTCATGTGCTTTCGCCAATGTGAGGCTCTGCACGAGTGCTTTGGAAGACTTTGCAGCATTGCTGGAGCCCCTGGTTGTCTTCGCACTCGAATCCGAGTCTCTGTCAGCAACCGCAGCATATGTAGCAGAGTTAGGCGTCATCAGCCGCCTCAGCACGTTGCATGGGATGTCGCACTCCCCTTCAGAATACGTGAGGCCGGCCCAGGCACCGTGAATCACGCGGCTAGTATGGCTAGTGTAAAGTGGGGTAATCCGGTTCCAGTCCAATCTCAGTTTACCCAGAGCGCGGCACCGAGGCTCGCAAGTTGAGCACCCGGCGACTGCAGCTCACTCAGCAGAGCAATCGCCTGACAACGTGTGAAGGTTTGTGTTGGCAGTTGCATTCACGGGGCATGGGGTCCAGTCGCTCTACGATTCTCGGGTGCTCTGGTTCTGCGCAACGCACCCGTGACGACCCACCTGCGTCCAAAGGCCGAAGCGAGCGCAGGTGGCAATAGCGGTGTTGATCGCTGGAGTCGAGACCTGCAGCTTTGGGCAAAGTGCCCGATTTTGACAAGTTCACAGGCTGCCTCCTGGCCGTGACAGAGGAAGCTCGCAACACATTCTTTGGACGTATGACGCGATTGAGGGCTGCACACCTGTTGGCATACCTGCTTCCAGCTGCTTGCAGAATCTGCTCAGCTGAAAGCTGAAGGATAAGTCGGCCACGATCCATCTCGGCCAAGAGCAGAAGGGCCTGAGGCTCCACAGCCGTCCTGCTGCCTTCACCCAAACCGGGCCACCGACGAGCCGCGGCTGTCGTCCTCGGAAACAGGCCTGCCACAGATTGAATCGCGGTCATTGGGCAAAGCGGGGACCCCGTACAAGGCGCCTTGAGGCCCTCCTCACAGGTGGACATGCTGGCCACGGATAGATCTCTGGCGCGGCCAAGGATGAGCAGCGCCTCAAATTTGCAGAGAATAAAAAAACAAAACAACAAGCGGATTGCGCCCCGTCAAGCGAAAGCCGAAGCCAAGCACCTGCTCCCAGAGGCCTCTTCGGCAGCATCCACCTGAAGAGAACGGTTCAGGGGAACGGCAGAACTCATCAGCTCTCCCGGCCTATGAGCTGGGCGCAGGTGACCGCGTCCGGCTGCAGCGATTCGCCTACAGCAAAGACGCAAGGCCCAGCCGAAAGGCCAGAAAACTGCAGGAATGTTTTGACCTCCGAGGTGGCAGCCTTTCATCGTGTCTAGCACGAGCTTGCACTGCGCCTTGCGCGAGTGGCTTCGACACAAAAAGTTGCCTCTGGAAGCAATATGGCCCTCACCAGCTCTTGCGCCCGAGCACAGGCCGTTATGACTGCATTCAAAGGGGCAATCTCTGGACCTGCAGTCTGCCAAACCGCATTTTTCTGCTGGAAGCTGTCGAATCAAGAGCAAAAGTAGCTTGGCTAACAGCTGAAACTCAAAATCTGGATCTTCTCCAGAAGGCTGACGGCCTGGCGAACATGTTGCACTCCTAGGCATCGCAGCTAACGCAGCACAGGAATAACAGCGTTCCTAAAGGTTTCGGAACAGTGAAGTGCTTCCTGAGGTGCAAGCCATCTCCCACTTTCCTGAAGATGGACGCCGACAATGCAGCTTGCGGCTGCTGGGATGCGATGGCATGCGCATGGCTGGGTGCAGGGCTCCAAGGGCCTCCGCCACTCCAGGGTAAGTTGCTTCGGACACCTTCGTCTGCGAATACCTGAGTAGATCGAAAACGTGCGGAGGTCCCGAGGCCCGAGCCTCGGGGCCCCAAAAGGAACCTGGCAGGACTTGCTGGGCCTCGCGCATCCTCGAGCTCGATCTCCGTCTGCAACCGCTCGCGAAGGCCGGGAGTCCTCTTCGGCGTTGCCGGCATCGACTCGACCTTCGAGCCCAAAGGCCAGGGTCATGGCCAGGGACTGCCGTAGCAAGCAAGGGCATGGGGCCCGGAATTATCCAAGCGCCACACGACAACTGGCGAAAAGTCCCACCTGTTCACATCTTTTTCAAGTCTATGGATGCCTGGTGCTGTGCTGCGAGAACTCGTCCTTAGGTCACAGCTTCGGTGTGCGAGGCTCCTGTGTGGGTTGTGCAATTCTGGCCCTCTGCACCTTGCCAGGAAGCAGGCTTCGACAACGGAAAGCAAAAGCCCGCAATGAGACGCCGGCTCTCCGGATGGACATCTCTCGCTCCTCTTGCTGCGTTCTGCCCTGATGCGCCTGAAAGCAGACTCGACAACAGCTTCTGATCTTTCAAAAACGAGGCTTGGCTGCGTGGGGTGGCCTCTTCCTGAGCAGCAGCAAGGACCTGACAAGCCGCCAAGCCAAGTCCGAGTGAAAACACTTGCTTCTGACTTGGCCAAGTCCGACTTACGGTGGCCTGAATAGCGGCGGCCAGGTCGCCAGATTTCGGGCTGAAGCCGTCTGCCTATCACTGAAAAATACGACAAGAACTGGCATGGGCTCGCTTCCGCCTCCATGTCGACGAGAAGGCTCACAGCAACGGCCTTGGGCTTGCGGCTGTGCGGGAGCTGCAAATACAGCCGCCGAGAAGGGAGCCCGGCCCATAGTTCCGAAGAACACGCATCCAGAGTAGTCCGGTATAGCCTCACATTCCTCTCCACACCTTGCGTGGGAAGCATCACAATCGCTCGCAGAAACGTCGTCGGTCATTCCCTTTCCCGAGTAGCCGTGCCCCAACTGCGTGCCCACCACAGGAGAGACATGACCTGGCGTGCTGCTAACTAGACCTAGACCCGACGGGCCCACGGGGAATAAGCACTCAAGAGCTCGCTGTGCCTGCGCCTGAGCCGGGCGTCGCTGGAGATCTGCCTAGACCGCGAGAGGCGCTGCTTGCGATTCACTGACTCGCCTGCCGCCTGCCTGCCTCTCCAACAAACAACACACATGCGTACGCTGGCGTACATAGACACACACGCAAACACAGAAACACACACTCGCGTGCGCGAGCGTTGGGCCTTGGCCTCCACGTCCATCCCCTGCACCCTGCTTCCTGCAGCCGGGGAGTGCGCTTGAGGCCTAGTTCATCCGAATGCAGCATGCTACAACAGAGAGGCACTGCAGCAGCTGTGTTTGAGTGTCATCAAGCTGTTTTTGCCAGACCCCCAGACTGGCCATTCGATAAACGGGCACGACCTCTGGTCGAACCGATTTATGCTGTCATTGCGCCTGCCTCCATAGTTCATTCACCCAAGTACCTGTGTCCAAATCGCCTGTCTGGAGAACTGGATGCAAAAATGCACATGGCTGCGAGCATTGCTGCGCGCGCAGCGCATTCTAATTGCGCAGCATGCGAAATCCTCGCAATGCTAGTGTGTTGGCACCCGACATGCTACAATCTACAGACCCGGCAAGGACCCAGGGTTTCAGGGACACCTTGCGGGTTCAAAGGTGGAGCTGTAAGCATCTCGACCCTGGCTTGGCCAGTCACGAAAGGGTGCACAACTGGTGACAGCGGAGTGCAGGTGCAGTGAAGCATCAAAGGCACTGGCTGGCATCGTAATCATTCTGCTCCTACAGGTCTTCCAAAGCTCGCAGCTTCTGCTACGGTGTGTTAGCTGAAGAGCTCGTGCTCCTACTGGAGTGACGCCTTCTTGGGGGGTCCATAGCCAAAGAGGTCATCCAAGTAGCAGAAGAATTGATGGAAGCAGCAGTCTCTCCTCTGGTGATGAAACTCATGCCGGTATGCCCCGCCATAGATGCTTGGGAGAATCCTGTGCATGGACCAAGGCAGATCCAAGCCAGAATGTGCTTCCGAAAGCAGGTATGTTACGAGCATGTTGTGAAGGAGACGGCTCAACTTGTGCTTCGGCAGGCCAAAAAGTGGCAGGTTCTGAACTAAGATGTTCGTCATCACCTGAAGGAAGGCATCTTCCATAGATTGGTTCACCACAAGCTCCACCCCCAAGAAGCTGGTTCCACAAACCGGATGCACTTTGAGCTCATGATGAGTCTCGTGCTTATGCCATGAGTTAGGGAACTTGTGCATCGACAGGTGAATCCAGTAGAATATGAAGTCGTATGCCACAATGCCGAGCAAGAGCTCGGTGAAAAGCCGGAAGGCTGTGGGGGGATCGTCCTGGACTTGGGGTGCAGCCCTGACACAGTGAAGTAACCACACGCCTCCGACATACACAGGAAAGGAGGCATAGACTCTGCTGAAAGTTCTGGATGTCATGCAGTGAGAGTTAAGAGGGTGCGACTCTGTCCGAACTACCATTCGGAAGGGCTTCACAAAAGGAATCTCGTTCAGAATGAAAAACATCGAAATCCACGCAACAAAAGCGAATGCCGCGACGAGTGCTTCAATCATCGCCCAATGAATGGCTGGCCACGAGTACATTTCTTTCCAGCAGGAGGCCACAAACGAGTCCAAGTCGATGACCCCCATGCCATGCAGCAAGGCCACTGTCGGCAAGAAGCCCTGGCAAAGTCTGGTCACAGCTTTGGACCAGCGCCCGTGCGCTTCATCTGCCAACCTGATGGTACTGTGCCACGCCTTCTGCGGCGCCCATCCAGAGTGCACCCCCATCCAACCAGGCCGTGAGAAAATCTGCAGAAAATGGCCTATTCCCGGCAACTCCATGTTTGAGCCAACGCCACCAGATTCGCAGATGCTGTGCGATGCAACGTTGGAGCATCACGATCTCTGCATCACCTCGGCAGATCTCGGCAGATAGATCTACTAAGTCAAAGTCTAGACGGTAGAATGCGGTATTTCTTGTACGCTGCAGTCCCTTGCATGCGACAAGGCCTGCATCGCAGGCTGACATAACATCTGCGATGGTGTCTGCAGTCGGTTCGAGCCCCTCTCCTGGCATCAGTGCACATGTGATGTCGCCTGCAAGTGCTTTTTCTCGAATAGCATCCCCAAACCCAGACATAATTGTTGCCCGCCTTTCATGCGCAGGAGAACGTCCAACCTCAGATAGACATCTGTTGCAAGCTTGGACCCCGATGTCGAACACGAACACGCTGTCGCTGGCTCCACCAGCCCTTGTGATGCCGCATGTGTTGCCCTACAGTATCGCCTGCTTGTGATGATAGCTTTCGACACGTTCGACACACAGCCACTGGAGTCCTGGCGCCATCTCCGATGCACGCGCTTCAGCGAAAGCTGTCACGAGGCTGCGGCCTGAAGGCAGACTCGAGAGCAGATTCTCACTGCTTTCCGCTTTAGGCCGGCCGAAACGGCTAGGGCCAAAGCCCAACTCGGCGTCTTCAAGCTGCTGCGGGACAAGCTGTGAGGCCTCAGTTGTCTCAGGTGCGCCACCGAAAGTCGTGCAAGGCTTTTGCCCTGCCGGCGCTATTGAGGTCAGGATGTCAGGATTGGTCACAGTGGAAGCCGATTAAGAAGCATGCTGGTCCCTTGGCTGGAAATTGGATCCTGTCTGGACGGTAAGTCTTGCGCCAGCTCCGCTTGGCATGCTTTGGCACAGATCTCGACCTCGGTTAGCACAAGACATGTGATTCTCGACTCCGCACAACGATTGCTACTTCTGCGATCGCGCACATGATGGATTTTTCCGGCACTTCACGCTGACGATCAACGGTGTGCTGGATCGCAGCAGCTAGACGGCGCGCTCCTTCCGCAAGCTGCGCAGGCTGCAGCCTCGCAAAGCACAGGCGCAGGAAGTTGTCTTCACGGCCTGCTTCCAAGGTGAACAGGTGGCCGGGCTTGGCAAGAAAACCAAACTCTTCAGATCTTGATGCTATGTCACGAGCATCCACATGCTGCGGGAGCTTGACCCACACGAAGTAGCCACCACAAGGGTTGGTTACTGCGCAATCTCCCGGCAGCGTAGCCGTTAAGCTTCCCACCAAGGACTGGCAACGTTCCTGGAAGTTCTTTCGAAGCTGCTCTAGATGTGAATCCAAGGCTCGGGACTTCATGGCGGTGGCCACAACGCAGGAGGCGAAGTGGCTCAGGTAGCCACCACTGTCGATGACACCCCATTTGCTCAATCGTTTTAGCTGCTGTGGAGACGCCTCTATCCAACCTACCCGGAGCCCTGGCGCCAAAATCTTTGAGAAACTCCCCAGAGATACTACGTTCTCGCCAAGACTTGCCATCGTGGCCGGTGGGGACACGCCGTATGTGAGGAGGGTGTAAACCTCGTCCGCGATCACAAGTATGCCGTGCTCCCTGGCAAGACCAACAATAGCTTTGCGTCGCTCTGCTGGCATTGTGCGTCCCGTGGGATTGTGGTGAACTGGGATCGTGTACAGCATTGCAGCTCTTCGGTCACTTTGCCGAAGCTTTTGCAAGGCATCCAGTAGGGACTGGATAATCATTCCGTCAGAGTCAGTGTCCACTCCAACAACTTCGAGCCCATGATCCCGAAAAATGGCGGGTGCCAGGAAATAGGTGGGGCTCTCAACTAGGACCACGTCTCCTTGTCTATGATCGGCACACATCGTACTCAGCATGTCAAGTGCCTGTGACACCCCGGCCGTCAGGAAGAGATGATCAGGATCAGGGCCTCGGCATCGGGAGGAGTCGTGCCGCCCGAGGAACTCCGACAGCTCGTATCGGAATTCCCAGGTGAAATCGCCGTACTCCAAAGGACCCTGCTGGTCAACATGAAATCAGTATGACACCGCGATTACTCCAAAGCGAAGAAAAGCTTTGCAGAGCCAGGAAACTGAGCTTGGGTAACTTGCCGCGGTGCTAAACGCCCCAAGCCGTCGGCGCTTGGGTGCTCCAGGGATTCCAGAACCGTCGGCGAAGAGGTCTTGACAAGCCTGCGGCTGGCACCGTGTGCATCCCACTTAGAGAACCCAGAGGTAGGTTTAAGAAACCTAACTCGGCCCCCGGCCCCCACAAGCCCAGAAAACCAAGCAGAGCCTGCCGCAGGACTTCGTTCGGCAGCTCTTCAGCCGCAGGCTGGCCATTGGCAAAGTCGATGGTACTCTCCATGGGGAATTCTGCTCTGCGTCTAGCTCGCAGAGCTCGTCACTTGAATTCGAGCCTGTGTCCGTCGCACCTCGAGCCCATGTCTTTCCCGGAACCCGGAACTAACATTAGTCACTCCCTTCCCCAAAACCACCCAGAAAAGGCATGCTGAGGGATCTGCACCGGCATGTATGGGAGATGCCTCGTGCTTTTGGGGCTTTCTGAGCATTCTCCTCTTTTCTGAGAGCCGGGAAGTCTCTGCAGCTCGGCAGAAGTCCCAAGGTCTCTGTGCTAAGCCTGGCTACATGCACGATACGACGTCTCAGGTGAATGTTCCGTGAGAGGCTTGCCGGCGCTCTCCGTCGGGTTGCAAATGGCCACGATGACCTCGGACATTTGGCACGTGGTCACCTGCATGAGCTGCATGAACATTAGGCCGACTGAGCCCGAAGCGCCAGCAGCAAGCGACGTGGATCCCAGTATTTGCAACCACATGAAAGCTGGCAAGGAGGACAAGCACTGCGCCGACACCTGCGGGCATTGCAAGTGCCGCAGCATTCGCAAATATCTTGGGCACACGGCTGACGACAACACTCTTTAAATAGTTCGTCCTTGAGTGTGATGACCGCAATGGAGTGCATTACAACCCTGGACAGAGAAAGTGCCGCTGCCCGCAGAGATGTAGGGAATGCCTTCGTGGTTTTGCGGCGCTTTCAGATGCTATGCACTCTCCATTCTTTACATTTAGTCTGCAGCCAAGCAGCCTCCAAAGACCACATGACAGCTGCCTGGCATCTTCGGGATTTGAGCTACTTTGGAAGGAGCAGTAACACATCAGCCTCCCATGCAAATCCACGGCAGGAAGCCGAGATCCTCATTGATCAGGAAAGAAATCACTAGTTCGAAGTGACCCCCTCAAATCTCTCGCAAGGCGACTTGCAGCTTGCATCTGCCCGTCAAGGCTCGCTCCCAAGATCGACTGCAAGTAGAGACACGCATCGTCACTCTTTAAAGAATGAGTTCCTGTCAACGCAAACAGCACTGAGCTCAAGCAGGGCTTAGGCTTAGATGTAGTGTCGGCACTGCACTTGAGGGACAACCATGAGTCATGAGCTCGCCTGCCAAGCACAGGAGCAGAGTCCCCTGAAAGCCGAAGCCTTGCGCACATCTCAAAGCCCTCCAGCCACGTGACAAGCAGCTTCAGGAATTCATTCCGCGAGCCTACGAAAAAACTGCCCTTTCTGCCGATAAAGTCCACCACCAGAATTGAGACAACCTCAGCGAACGGGCGGATATTCAAGGAGCTTCGGACTTTTGCCCTTTTGCCTGTCCGCAGGTGCCCTAAGGTCAAGTCCAGCCCACAGAGATCTCCCAAATTGAAGATCATCAAGAGCGTCCGAGGCAAAGCCTCAGGGGGTGCTTGCTTCTCGGCGCTGGGATGCGACGCACCACAGAAGCTACAATCTTCTCAGGCAACGGGTACGCACTTAAGAGACAAGCTGCATTGTCCTCCGGAAACATGAGATTCTGAAACAACATTGGCCCCCAGGTGTCGATCAGGCAAGTCGTCATCGAGAGAAGGGAAAACAGGATCCTGACACTGCTACATCCTGTCCAGAAAGAGTCGATCTACATCAAGATGCTGGCCGCTACCATGCCCTCCCCCCTCCCGAGATCTGCTAGTTCAGGTCTTACTATAGTGCTGATTACCGGGCCAGACGTTGCACAAAAGCATGCTTTTATTCCCAGGTGCAGGGAGAAGCGCATCTTTGCAAAGTACTCGTTTGAGAAAAGCTCGTACCAGCTCCTGGATCCAAGAAGCGGCCGCAGCTGTTTGGAAGCACTCGGAGTAGCGGCTATTCGGACGTTTTCCCTGCCGTCCGAATGGACTTCACAACATCTCTTGCAATAACCCTTTCAGCCCAACCTTTGCAGGGTTGCCGGAAGGCGTGCTTGCCTACCTTCGTATTGTGTCTCCCCTGCCTGTGAAAGCAAGACGTCTGAAGAGGACGGACCATCAGGACCAAAATGTGCATAGAGAACGCCACCGAGAGAGCAGAACAGGAGAAGGCACCACAATGGCATTCGATAAATCACTGCCCGAGCAGTCTGCATCGACGATGCAACACAACTCGTGACCTCTTCCACATGTCACATTAAACAAATCTACACACCATTAAACCGTTTTAGCATCTGTCACATCTGTCCTCTCATCTGTCAAGGAGGTGTGGTCCAGGCAAAGCCGGCAATCAGACGACCAGCGCGCACCACTTCTGCGATGGATATCGGAGAGCACAGCTTTGGCCTGCCAGGTTTCAACGCGGTCTCAAGAGCGTGCTACCATGTCTGCCCTGCCCTCTCCGGTGCCTCCTCGATCCTGCCACTAGCTACCAAATATCTAGGCGACTCGTGGATCAGAGTTGTGCTCAACAACAGAACTCCCATCGCCACGGCAGCCAGCAGCAGCAGCTTTTGCCAATCCTCGAATATCTCGAATGCAGGAAAGCTACATTACGCATTACTGCAATTACCGCAAGAATGCAGTGAGCACAGGCACAGACTTCCGAAATTCCTACTAGCCGTGCTGGCGATTCTCGCAAGAAACAAGCTTGGCTCTGCGGCGGAGGCTGTATTGCAAATGGAACGGATGTGGGGTGCGGACCTGCCGCTTGGCATCACAATAATGCTAAGGCAGCTGCATCATTGAAGAAGTCAGAGCTTATGATGACGACAGCTCGTCCTTTCATGTTCGGGACCCGTAAAGCAACTGTCCGCTGCAAAACGTGAGAGATGGTCATGCAGGGAAATGCACTAGCTTAAACAGGATTTCAGCCTCCAGCCTGGGAGACCGGAACGGCAACATGCTAAGCCTTGTTAGTCGCTTGCAAGACCCTGGTCCTGCAGGCCATCCTAGCGTGATGGCAGCCAGCATCGCCCCACGTGCGGTCGTTGGAAGGAACCTTTGATTGAGGACAGCCATCAGAATGACAAGATCTGGGAACAGTCCTTGACGATGAGCCGTGAGCTTACTTCACAATACTTCAATGCCCTGCAGACTACTGTTGACCGGCCGATGCGCTCGACATACCAAGGGCCCAAAGCTGCGTAAGCAATCGCCCAACTTGCGGAGCTCAGCGTTCGCAGAATAAGAATCCTTAGCTCTCTCAGAGCAGAGCCGCGTCCGCTCCTTGAACTGTGTGTTTTCTCACTCTCTTTCCTTCCGCGCAAACCTTCTGCCGATGCTTCTGCAGCCGTCCCATCCTCGATTCGTTGGCATGTTTCCAAGTCCCATGTCGTGCTTTAGTCTCTCTGACGCAAAACCCCTTCCACACAAACCTTGCTTCAAAGTCGCATCTTGTCCCTTCTTAGCACACTTCCGCGCCCAATTTATTGCAAGGAGCCCCTTCTGCAAGAGCAAGAGACACTCTTACGCATTCCGTCAACCTGGCAAGAGCCCTGAACTCGTCGGGTGTAGCACATTGTCTCTCTCACTATGCATCAGCTTCTGTTTTCGTTGCCTTCCCGCCCTTCCGCACGGCAATGAAAGTCTCATGAAGACCCGGACACCAACACTTCTCTCTCGCCTGGCTTACCACACGTGATATGACAAAGCTAGGCCCAGGAGCATATTGAATGAAGTTGCAAATGCAGAGCCATAGTTCAGAAGTGTCGTTACCAGTGCGCCGAAAACCAGAGTAGGCTTTCGGCCCAGCTTGTCGACCAGTACTGGTGCGACCAGTGCCCCGAATGCACATCCTGCCTGAAATGCCGCTGCGTAGGTGGACAGCTCCTCCTTGTCTGCACCTTGCTTGCTCCATTGCAACATTGCAAGTGTGTGCAAGCGTCTGTTCTCGCAGGATCGCACCCTGCTGCTTGCAGACATGCAGGTGTCTCAACTGAGGTATCTACCAAAATGTATCTGTAGGCCTGGAAACATGTACGGGGTCAGCTCGCAGTGGATGGCGAAGAGTGCCACAGCGGCAGTTGTCCAGAGGACGTGGCCAATATGAAAAGAACTCAAGGGCAACTCATCCAAAACCTGGCCAATTGGTAAAGATGCTCCATCGCAGGAGTTGTAGCCCTTGTGCATTGACCTGCGTACAGCCCACTCAAGAGAGCAGTGCAGGCTCAGTCCTATTCCGATCCCACCTGACGTAGAGGTAGAGCCGTGAAAGCACGAAGCCATGGCCCAGCTTGAGCCGCGACCGGCAGACAGCTCGCTCCGAGAAAAGACTCACTCACTTAACTATGGTTGATGATATAAATCCTGCATTACCCATAATGAGGCATATAGCGGCATATACCATAATAACTCCCATAGTCTAGGGCCATTACGGTAACGCAATTTTTTATATCATCAACCGCAGTGCAACCTGCAAAGCTGACCTTGCTCGTTTTCACCCTGCACTGAGGCTCATCCACGACGCGACGAGCCTTTGGCACGAATGAAATCGAGCGTCTCCTGCTTGGTGGCATTCCACGAAACGGGCATCTCGTCAACGAGATAATGATACTTTGGCGAGAAGTGGAGAAGATATACGATCTTCTGAACCTCATCTCGTTTGAAGTTGTCCTGATCTTCCTTGATGTAGTTAAGGCACAACGCAGTGAGTTCACCAAAGTCTTGGTTGGCATCTGGCCTATCCTCGAGGACTTCTCCGTGTATACATCCAAGCAAGAAGAGGAGGAAGTCCTGGCGGCCCATGTCGGGCAGCGTCTTCGACAAATTGAAGGCCACCCTTCGAAGAAACTGCTGTTCCTCGGGGATCGCCTGTGCCAAGCGCGAGAACTCCCCGGCCTTGAACTCGGCCGCTGCACCGCGGATCAGCGGCAGCAGGGCGTCCTTGACCAAACCCCAGGTCTCCGGGCCCTGGAGCCGGTAGACCCAGGTGAGCCGGGCCATGTAGCCGGCAGTTAAATCCTTGACCTTGTGGGGGGTAGACACGTCCTCTGCAACTCGCTTCAGGAGGCCCTGGTGGTTGATCTTCATCTGCGTCAGTGCCCACACGTTGTTGATGGCATGGAGCAAGGACACATCATTGTAGCGTCTCTCAATCTCCGGCACAAGCGTCATCAGAATGTCCATATCCGCGCTCGCCTCGCTGGACTGTGCCATGGAGACCAACATCTCTGAGAGCTCCACACCTTCATAGGTAGCAAGGAGCTCTTTCAATCTGGGAATCACCTTCGACAGTAAATCATGGTGTTTGGAGGCTCGCTTGTTGTAGATACGGACAATGCCCATGAAGTTCAAGGCCGTGAAATCATCCATCTTCTCCAGAATTCGCTTTTCCAGCACCTCAAAAAGCTCGTCGTCGTCGGGCGTCATGATCCACATTGGGCCCAGGCAGTCGACCACATCTATGGCCTCAAATCCCGTAATGCGGAACTTCATTGTGTCCGCCAACTTCTGACACAGGGCTCGCTGTCGGACGTCTTGTTTGGCATAAATCTTCGCGATCTGTGCGAGCTCAGCGGGAGTGTAGACGTGAATGTTGTCTAGCAGCTGGCTCTCCAGATGTGGTACCAGGGTGTTCTCAATGTAGTCTTCTGACAAACGCTTCGAGAGAACTACTGACTTTGGGCTATCTTTTTCGCCATCGTCGTCTTTGGAGGAAAACCTCCTGGCCGATGCCCATGGAAAATCTGTCCCCCGAGGAGCGCATGACGGAACCCACGGTGCCCGTCGGGCTGCGAGGCTCGAGAGCCGCGCGAGCCGCGACAGTCCGGGAAACATGGCACGGTCCGTGGTGTTTCTTTTGCGGGGGAAGCCGGGGCAGCCTCAAGGCTCTAGCTGCCTACACTGTGCTTTACATCTGACTGCGCTGGCGAGTTGCGAGCTGCAACTTTGACCGTCCTGCCAGCTTCCGAGTAAATCATACATGCTCGAAGGATGTGCAAGTCCTAAGCTCCCAAGTCTCGGAACATTCGAACACTCTTCTCAAGCTGAAGGCCCAGGGCACATCAAATGCAGATGTCCTCTTGCCAGAATGAATTCATGGCTCAAGCTTCCATGGATCAAGGATGGTATGCTGCGACATTGAGGGCTTCACGACCGTCGGAAGCAGGCCACTGGGCGCTTCCGCCTAGCGCGGCTCTTCCGAATCCCCACTCTGCACCGCGACACCGGGACGCCGCGACAGCGCGACGCCAGCGCCTCCCAGAGCTGCAGAGCCTGCGCAAAGCGGCTTTGAACGGCACAGCAGCCAGGGCACGGAAGGCGAGGCACAGCGAGGCACGGAAGGCGGAAGGCCACGGCCTCCGCCCAAGCGAGGCGCTCCGCATAGGCCGCCAGCGCCGCTCGGCACATACCCAAGTCAGACCTCACAAAGGAATGGAAAAAGGACACTACACTCAGCAGCACAAGCCTAAGCTCACCAAGATCAAAGCTTGACTCCTTTCCTCCGGGCTTCTTCGAGCAACACACTGACCTGCAATGGTTTAGATTTACATTGATGTTGATGGCACAGCGAAGCTTGTCCACGCAACACGGTGCTCTGGTGCAGTGCCTGCAGCCACTGTGCTGTGCTGCCGCATGCGAGAATTGCGGCCGTGAATGTCGCGGTGTTGAGAGCCTCAGCGCCATGCAGCGCTTCGAAGCGACTTGCAGATGTCGCCCACGGCCGTCCTTTGGAGGCCCGGGCCGCCTTCGGGTCCAACTTGCACATGTCGGCAAAGAGCTCGAGAGCATCCTCACCGCCGTCCGAAGGCGAAGGGGTTGCGGCAGAATGGAGGCATGAGGCATCCTACTGCGGTCTCTTAAAGTCTTAAACCTGGGCCAGGCAAGATGACAACCGTTAGCCTGCTTTGCCCCGGGCATGTCCTTCCAGCTGCGGGCATCGCCCAAAGTTCGAATAACTTGGGCATACCTTGGGACTGTTCAAGCATCGAAGCACCAGATCCAGACAGAATATGAAAGCAGTCTCTGCTGGGCGCCCTGCGGTGCCTCCTCGCCCGGAGCTGCGAAGGCACGGCACATGCCTGGACAAAGGAAGCCCGTCAGTGCTCTCTCGACTTCCAGGCACCAGCCGCAAGGGTGCCCGATGCAACGTAAACGACGTGACCGTAAGCCTGAAGACACCACTATGAGGAACACTGCGGAGACCTGGGAGAGCAATTGCTCCGCCCACGATTCCAGCACAGGCAATCAATCGCTCTTGGGCATGCGCTGGGAAGAGCAGCTTGAGGAAGCGCGCCTTCCTGCTTTTCGTGGTTGTGGTGCACCCGGTTTGCGCCAAGACTTTCTGAGGCAGCCGCCTGAAACCCAGTCTCTGCTTCCAAAGTCGCCACATTCACCTCAGCAGTCGTGTCTCAGAGGCCGGAGATGCAAGCGGCTGATCCAAGCGCAAGCAAGCAGCAGCTGGCAACACCATGGGAGCCCGCCACGCGCCAAGGCAAGACATGTGATCTGCACATTCAGTACACTTTTGAAAAGCCTTCAAGGTTAGTCGCATGGACTCCGCTGCTGCTCAAGAATAGGATGCAGGTGGAGTGAAGGTTGTGTAGTGGCAACTTGTGCCTCGGTACCTTCTGTGTATAGGATTGGCAAACCGACTCAACTCATGAGCCAGCTCATTGGCGAAGTGTGAAGGCGTGTAGAGGGGCGAAGGTACCTACTTGAACACACAACAATGCATCCCATCCTATTCTGTCCCGGTCCATGCTATCTCATGCTATGCCACAGCATAAGATTATGCATACCGTACATACAAGGCACGCCCCACGGCAGGCTACCATGCAGACAGCAGAGCACGATTAAGGGTCTGTTGCAGCTGTGCATCACACATTCTGCTGATCATATACCACGAGCCACGTGACACACTTCTACAGCGAGAGCGATGGAGGGAGGCAGGGAGGGAGGTAGAGGCCACTGCTACTTACCTGCAGTGCAAGCCCCTCCCGACATTTTCGGCCACCGCAAGGAGCACGTGCGAGCCTAGAACCCTTCTTCGAGGGCAAAGGCAGTCCGCGGAGTGCGACCCGAGTTTCCGGGTGCCCTTGCAGCAGCCGGCGATGCTTTATCAGTAGAGTGTACGAAATTCTGCTTATGTGTGTGGCATTGCAGTTCAAGCCTGCTCAAGCCGGCTATTGCTGCGGCGCTGCGCTGCTCCTAGCACGACTGTGTCCTATGCAAGGCCAGGAAGAGTCGCGTTGTACATCAGATGCATGTCCGGGTCATGAAAACCAGAAACAAATGCGGCCCCTTGTATGCTACGCCCGGCCCTCCCCACTTGATGTGGGGCCGCAGAGCGTCTCACAGCCCATCTGCTGGCCAAAGCCATTTCACAAACTCGTCCACATCAATAGCGCCATCCTGCAAACGGCATGACCCGGCAAGGGAGCAAGATCTGATCTCTCACAACAAAGCTGATGACATCAAGCTCCTTGTTGAGATCTGCTTGTGAGAAAAGTCGACGCATGCTGTCCGGGGTGATTTTGGGATTGAGAGTCTTCAATACCGCGGTCATCTCATCCTCGCTGATCCTTCCATCAAGATTTGCATCCTGGCGGCACAGGGCAGGCGGCAGGCATCCAGCGACCCCTTCTCGAATTCCAGTGCATGAATGCTGGCAAGGTTCCCACTCTTGAAGGGCCTTCTGGACCTGAGCAGGAAACCAGGACAAGCAAAAGACAAGCCCATCGCTCGCGCTCATCTCGACTCTCATGTAGCACGTGAGTGCCGCACCTTGCCGATGCTGACTTCACTCACCCTCTCCTGAGCGCACTCTGTCGTTCCACATCGTGCAGCTTCAAGCAAACGCAGGCAGCCAGAAAGGGACCAAGCTGTGATGCACTTTGTCTGATGCTGCTCGACGAGCGGCTGCGCCCATGAGACGGCGGAGCTGATTCACGGTCTGACACCACACCGCACGCTGACCCAGCCCTACTCGTAGTGATACAGCTCTTTGCCTCCTCTTCGCTGACCCCAACGCGGCCAAAGCATTTGTGGCTCTGCTGCTGCTGCTCGGTGGCTACGGCGAAGAAGACATCCCGCTCGTCCTGGTTCACTAACCGTCAGATAGCCCCAGCCTACGCATGTTCTAGGGGCCCGGCAGCAAGTGTGGGAGACTCGCTGAAGAGATACACGAAGCAACCGTTCGGAGGTGCCTAATCCACGTGTGTCGTTGTGCTTGTCAGCTTGTGGTTCCCGTCTGCCAAGCGGCCTGGCCGCTAGCACGGACTCTCCCAAGTTCTAAGGCCCCCACCTGCCAGGTTTCGCCACCGAGGACTTCCTCCAAGAGACTAGCACATGACACGCATGTCTGCGCTACCCATACTGCATAGGAGGCATCATTCTGCATGATGTTGTAAGATGCTCTGCTCTGGAAGCTGACAGCCTGGATCGATTGCATTGTTGTGCTCAGCGGACAGCCTGATTAGGTCTCCTGTTGCTCCAGCAGTGATGGCACAGACAAATAGTCGAGGGGGGATCATGGTGGGCTGTGGAGCAGAGCATCTGCTACACCCGCTACACGGAAACCAGAAGTGGCCCGGGCCTTGCACGGAGGCTGCAGCACTTCCCCGCCATTGACCCAAGCAAAGTAGCGCCCTCCTGGAGCCGCACAGAATTGAAGCTATCACCTTTTTGGCGGGTGCGCAATCCCATACCACAACCTGAGCTCGGAGAGGTCTACAGCAGTTAGCATTGCAAAACTCCTTGAAAAGCTTTGCCAAACGCGGAGGACTTTTGGAACCAGGACTTGGCAAATCATTCATACGACTTATGAATGCTTTCGTACATGCACCTGGTCACCTGACTTGAATGCACATTCAACTGAGTTAGTTCAAAACGTAAAAACCCGGGTGGCATCAGTACTTATTAAGGACTCGCACTCAAGACGTCTTTTCCGCACCCAGGCAGCTGGTGTCACAGGTTTGCATGCCAGTGTTTGGCGTGCTAAAATCCGCAGCAAGGTGCGGGAGGGAGAGGTGGGAGCTTGAGCGAGAGACATTTCGTGCTCGTCCTTAAAGGAACAAGGACTCGCACTCAAGACGTCTTTTCCGCACCCAGGCAGCTGGTGTCACAGGTTTGCATGCCAGTGTTTGGCGTGCTAAAATCCGCAGCGCCACCCGTTCCACCCTTTCTGTCGCTCGCGATCATCCTTGCTGCGAATAGTTGGAACCACAAGGAGGGCAAAATGCCCGTGGTCACGTAGAAGTCGACCCGTCACACAACGTCCGCGAAGGACTCCAAAGCAGCGAAGACCAAGGCCCGAGGCTCAGCAGACAAGCTGGGTAGATACTGGACCGAAGAGACCTCCTGGATGTAAATCTCCATGATCTTCGGCGTGAGCCATCGGCCGCGACGGCGTACCAGTTCAGAGTTTTCGTCTGTCAACAAAAGCCACGTAGCTCCTCCAGCTCGCAGAGAAGCAAGCTCCAGACCTGGGCCGGAGGCCGAACTGCCGTAGGAGAGCTTGAGGGCACTGCAAAGCTGCTTGAAGCGTGTGCGAAGGGTCTGGCCAGAAGAAGGCCACAACCGCTCGTGGGGCCGAAGGCGCCCAAAAGCGAGCGTAATAATTTTCAGGACGTCGGGCTGGTCGATCCGAACCGACTGGTGCCTTGCTGCCAGAAACCTCGTTTTTGGCTCGGTGATCGTGAGGAAGGCGAAGTCGATGGTTGCCCAAACGTCTGAAGGAAAAATGAGGTCCTTGCGAAAGGCAGCAATGGCCTCGCCTATACAAAGTAGGCCTCCCCAAGCAAGGGCCAACATCCCAGCTGTGCGGGGCCATCCCCACAGGAAACAAGTTGTAACCAAAGCCAAAAGCACCTGCCAGGGCATCGCAACGTGATGCCGGCCCGGTTCGGCACGCTTCCAAGAAAAAGCCAGATCCCAGGCAGGTTGAAGGAGGCGGCGAAGCTTAGGCACTCGAGCAGAATAGGCATTCAGCAGTTCACTGTAATGGCTGTAAGGGCGGCCGCTGCGGTAGAGCTCCCGACCGTACCTGGACAAAACACAGTTGATAGCATCGACATCGAGGGTCCCAGGCATTTCTGTAAGATGGGCAACTTCTATCCCCTGGCCGGCAAGCCAGTGACAGAAGGCTGCCCAAAGAGAGTCCCTCTGCTTCTGCGTGGCCGGCTCGACAAGCCTGCCTGTCGGAAGATCGTCGAGGCCACGGGACATTTTCCTGGCCAGGGCTCCAGCATTTCGGGGCGCTAGGCGGCCATGGCTGTCAGACGCAGGCAGACAGACGGATTCAGGAGCACCAGAGACGAAGACAGAAAGGAGAGAGACCCAAGAAAGAAGTAAGCCGGGGCGACAGAGGAGGAGGCTAAAAGAAGGCCCCTCCCCCGGGTACCCGAGAGTCTGGTCGAAGTCCAGGGGCGAAGGCACAAAGGTGCGGAAGGAGCGGTTGGAGTACCGAAGGCCGGGGCCGGTGGGCAGAAGGAAACCAAGGCCGAGGACAAGGCGAACCCAGCCAGAAGCCCAACGGCGCAGGGGAGGCAGCCCGACGAGGCGGCGAAGGACATCGCTTGGAGCAGCCTCAAGGGACAACACTCGGGATGGGCGGAGGCATGTCATTATCGCGAGTGGGGCGGTCGGCTGGCATCAAGCGAGTGGGGCAGAAAGCCAGCCCATGAAGAAGTCCAAAAGCAATGCTGACAGAGGCGATCCGCTTCATCACAGGGGCTAGGCCTCGAGAGGGAGACCGCCCTTTCGTAATGGCAGACTTTGCGACAAAGGAGTCGCACAAACTGACGAAGGGGCTCTCAAGGGCTGAAGCCTCAAGGCTGCACCGTTCGAGGGAAGACATGCGCCTCCGAAGGCCGAGATCGAGGAGGGCAGCGGCCTCACGGACGACAAGGCCATGGATATCGCCGGGGGCCGGCGGCTGGAGTTGGTCACGACGCCAGTGCTGAGCAGCCAACGCACACGTCGGCAGGCAAACGCTAAGCATGCGGTACCCTTTGAAAGCTCCGAGCTCAAAGGGCACAGCCTTGTCTGGGGCCCGTCCTGAGGCGAGGAGGCCAGACCAAGCCTTAAGAAGGGGAGCCAAGGAGGCCCAAGCCAAGGCTGGAATGCCAAGTCCAGAGGAATACAGGTTGACCTTGGATGAGGCAGGGGGCAAACCATAGGGGGTTTTAGGGGACCTAAACCGGGGCCTAGAGGCTGGGCTGAAGGTGGCGAGAGGCAATGAGATCCCGATGGAATCGACCCGGCCGCGCTCAAGCTACCCATTCGAAGAGCCGCACCGAGCAGAGGTCGTACTCGACAGACAGAGCAGGGTCGAGGCAGGGGCCAACAGCCCAACCAAGTGCAGCGAGAAACGGCCCAAGAAAGTGGAAC